CATATATTTTAAGATTTATTATAAATCTTACTAGAAGCTTTGCCCGGATGGCAAATCAAAGCCACTGTTTATTATGGGACAATCCCTGAAGGATCGTTTTAATCAACAAGTGGTCATAGTCTGAATTCTAAATATAGTTTTGCCTAGAAGGTAAATCAAGAGCACTATTTTTATTTGTCACCCGTTATCTTGCCCCAACCCTCGATTATAGATATTTGATCTAAAAGGATTTATAGACCCTAAGTCAATCCCTGAAGGATATTTGGTGTATGCGGGTCTTATTGTCAATGGTCGTATTGTACTCCAGTAGTAGTACATGACAAAATTATGCTAAGTGTTTGGTCATTGGGCTATTTTTTTAATAAGGTCTGGAAGACCCTGAATGTGGATTGATCTTTAAGGTGACTAATGACTCATGAATGAAGTTTGCAACTTCTATTTCTAATGCTATGCTACTCTCCAAAAGTCAATATTGACTCACATCATGTTGGTTTGCCTGAAGCAAACAAGTTGTGATTTTTTTTTACACATAGTAATCACTGCCTGAAAATTCTGACCGGCGCAGTTTGAAAATTAAATTCGTGAAAAATACTTGTTGAACTCCTTTTGGCATGAAATTTTTTCTGGAGAACCTAGACTCGTGATATTTGATGTCTGTAAAAATATTTTGTTAAAAATATGCTTTGGTTATTCCAGAAAAATTTGTAAAGTTTTGGCAGTGTGCTGCCAATTATTTTTCTGCCTGGAGCAATGTTGTGAAAAATTTCAGAAAAAATACTTTCACACCTTGGATTGAAATGAAAATTTTTATGTACGTTCTAGACTTACTGAACTACATATCTGCCAAATTTTGTGTCAAAATGTGTTACCTTTTTCCCCCAGAAAATTCTGCAATCCAGGTCAAAATTCTGAAAATTTTCTGCCGTTTTCAGCTTGTATATCTTGCTATTTTGTGATGTTTTCATGCTAAGATATGAAACTATGAAATAAAATGAGAGTTTGCTTGGAAAAGTGCTGTTTTTGACGCCCCGAAATAGGAATGAATGGGCCCGGCAGCGAACATGTGCTCATTATTATTTGGCGAACGGTACTTCTCTCATTTTTCTAATTTATGAATTAATAAACAATATCTCTTGTCATGTCATGCCTTGTGTGTACCAAACATGATATTCTTTATTTAATGGATGTGCATGACTCAGTTGAGTGTTTGGTGTCCAAGACATAAGGGACAATTATATCACATGTTGCATGTGCTTCTCTTTAATTGACAACATTTAGCATATAATCTCTTGATTATGTTCACATAAGAGATTTTGTTATTTATGTTGTTGGCAATTTATGATTTGCTATAGGCCATAGCTATTGAGATTTATCACCCAACTTATAAGTGGGAAAATAACATGAATTCTCAATATGGTTAGGTTGCACCTGTCGTTGCTAAACCTTAGCTTGCATGTGATAATAGTTAAAGGCTATGGCATGTTTACAGTGCTAGTTTCTGCTATAGAAACTTTTTGACATGAGATTTGGGCATATGATATTTAAATTTATAGCCCTCATTATTTTGTATATTTATTTGCCCTGAAGGTAGATTAAGGATTTTAATTCTCTAAGTCATCCTTTTAGGATGAATCTTGACAATGAATTCTTGACCAAAAATGGTCAACCTATCCCATCAATCCCCGAAGGATTGTTTGACGTTACTATGAGTCAAATTCTTTTTATCCAAGTCTAACTCAATGCATATCACAAATCAATCCCTCAAGGATTGCTATACCCCCTTTTTCACCTAGTACGTGATTTCAGAAGTAACATTTTCCTATCTGCGTTATTTTATTTGCGCAGTCTATTTTATATCACCACCACAACGTACCTCTAAAAGGGCTATCAAAGAAACCTCCGTCTATTGATTAAATACAGAAAGCCCATGATAGGGGATCAATACATATAATTGGGTACGTTGACTGCATTCCTAATGAAGATTGTTTCTCGGCATTAGGGGGAGATAATATACTACTCCGTAGCTTTTTGGAATGCCAAGAAATTTCATAAGGATAAAAACATCTTCATTATTTAAATCCATGTACTAGTTAGATTGAACTGGAAGTTCAAAAGATAATCTATTTGCGATTTTAGCAAATAATCTGCCGAATACATCTATTGATCATAATGATCATAAAAGAAGTGACTAGGTCCTATATCCTTGGACCAAACATATCTATTGATACTCCTTGACACCAGAAGTGTAGGAGACCTATCGGTGAAAGAGATATGAATCATAATACTAGATCTAGTAAAGAAATATTGTCACTCTTGAAATAGTTTGAATAATTATGTCCTGCAGACATTCGTCCAGATGACGAAAAACCCTGGTAAGACTTATAGGTGCACCAAACAAACGTAATACTAGGGATGCGGAACGACCAGATCAAAATATCTTTGGGAAATGTTTAGAATCTGGTTGTTTTAGAAATTGCCATTACTTTTACAAATATGGGAGTTTTACAAAAAAGTTATAGTTGTCGACAACACAATTGCTATTACAAATTGCTCGTTATATAATCTGGATCCAGAGTTAAGCACCAGAAGTGCCATGACTATTTAATATATAAAGGAGCAATTAAGGCATAGCTCGACTCGCTAAAATGAATAAATTCTCTTTATAACAATACACCATTTGAGTGTTAACCCTGAAGGTTACAAATGGGTGTGTGCATGAAAGAGAAATAAGAATAATGAGGTGATAAAGCGAGTTTGTAGCCTATGGGTTCACGCAGAGACCCTTAATTGATTTTAATCAAATATAATCTCCCACGGTAAATGGCATTAAGTTCCGCTACATAATACAATTGGCAGAATAATAAATTTAGATATGCAGTTAAATTTATCTTGAGAAATCCCTGATGGATTCATAATTCTCATTTTTAAGTATTATTATGTGTCATTATCTACTCTTTAAAGGGTTGCGAATGGAGTTAATATCCTCATTGAAGGAATAATATGTACCATTGTGTGCTCGATAAAGGGTTGATAATGAACTTATTTATTATTTATTATCTCAGTCAAGATTGATGGTGTAAACATCAATGAAAGATATAAAGAGCTTGATGATGTCAGTTCATGTTTAAAGACTGAGACTTTTGAAACAAAAAGCTTGTGAAAGCTATAAGTTTTATCTCGACTTGAAGATCGAGTTTTTCTTTACAGTTTTTTTTATATACACCAGTCAACCTACATCTAAAAATGCTTTTTCATATGTCTATATGCATATAAGTGTCATGTTTTATCAAACTAAAGGTTGCCTAATCTCTTGAAGTAGATAAGGAACCTTTTTGGACTCGAAGTCCCTTACTTCATTATCATTGGAGCACCATTATAGAACCAGAAGTTCCATAACCGCAACATATTTGCGATAAAATTGCTAGCAAAATCTAGTGCTCCCCCTACAAATGAAGTACTTGAATAATGATTAACATATCCTCCGGTATCTTCGAGATACAAAGACATGACATTTATGTAAGAAACCATGATACGGTTTTAATAGGCTACTTGGGTACTGGCTGTTTTGTTTGATCCCCGCAATGCCAAGTCCAAACTGGTTATACAATGAATTTCCCTAAATGTTCAAAATGAGGACAATAACACTTGTGTTGCACAAATGTTATATTAGCTCTAGAAGAGCCATAAGATTATTGTACACTACTCTAAGTGACAATCCAGAAGATTTGTCCAATCCATCTCTTCAAAATTTGAAATATATGTAGAACTTGAAGATTGTTATCTTCAGGGGGAGACTGGAAGTACATTTACTCGAATCAATCCGGAAGATTGAACATTGAACGTAAAATCCTGAAGATTAAGTCATAAAAGACTAACAATTGCGCACTATTTGCAACACATAAATACATAAATACATAAATATCATGTACTCTTTTCCTCACTAGTTTTCTCCCATTGGGTTTTCTAGTGTGGTTTTTAACGAGGCATGAGTATGATATAGTAATTACAATGAGGAAAAGTTGCAAAATAATTGCTTAAATGGACAAACCCCAAAATCCTGAAGATTATGCGGTTTGCGCCCTGAAGGCTTATGGTTGTACTCTTTTTCCCTTAACTAAGTTTTTCCCACAGGGTTTTTTAAGTTAAGGTTTTTAATGAGGCGACCAAATACAATATATGTTTTTATATATATCATGTACTCTTTTCTTCAACTAGGTTTTTCCCACGTGGTTTTCCTAGTGAAGTTTTTAATGAGGCATGAATATATTTTCTATTGTACTCTTTTCTTGTCTAGGTTTTTCCCACAGGGTTTTCCTAGAAAGTTTTTAACGAGGCTAGATCATCGACAAATAATGTCCAAGGGGGAGTGTTATAAATAGTAATGATTGTGGACATTATTGTGTAACGGTTTCCTTTATGTCTCCATTATTGTATTCCGTTACACTTGTTATTATATATATGTCATTCTAATGTAATGATCAGAGGTGTGGTATAAAGGAATAAGAAACCATCTATTTTGTCTCTACTCTTCTTCTTGTTCTTACTGTTCTTCACGAGCTAAAGGCATGCAAACAAACTTGCAATACAACATATATATCAATAATCTATGGTATAATGACATGGTAAAAGTGCAACTAAATAAACCAATGAGTTTTCAAAAAATAAACCAATGAAATTTAGAGATTTTTTTTTTTTTTTCAAAATACAAAAACTTAATGAACAATTAGAGTATCATAATAATGTTCATGTTAATAATTAAAATATTAATACTTTAATTTATTTTTTGTATGAGCAACTTCAAATAAATTAGTCAGCCTATTAATTTATTACTCTGTAATTCATCATAACTTATAAGTTCAAATTTTCAGCAGCAAGAATTAATTTTAATTTGAGTCGGTTAATAGAGTGATAAATTATCGAATGGTGCAGTTTCCCTTGTGAAAAAAAAACGCTAATTTCTCTATTTGTTGTACTTCTACTTTTCTTCTTTTATTTGATGGTGGGTGGTGACAGGTAGTGGTGGAGGTTTCTTGACTTTCTTCCCAGAGAGGGAATATGCTACGCTATTAATCTTTAATCCCTTCAGTTTAAATGGTTCCCCTTCCCCGCAAACATCCTGGATAATACGCTGACTCGATTCCGTGATCCATAATTCCTACTTTTCAAAATTTTCTTTTGTACATTTCATTTTATATACATGTGTTTTTGTGTGTGTGTGTGTGTGTTTACACGAAGACCCAGCTGCTTCCTTCTTCCTCGCCCTCTACCTATCTGCAATTTTACCAGGTACCCCCCTCCACACCTTTTTTTTTCGTAGCTATATGAATGTAATGATTGCTTCTTTATGATTTGGAAGTTTGTAGTTTGGAATTTCTTGATAGTTAAAAGTGTTGTCATTGCTTGCCTGTTCTCTCAAACAGTCAACTGCAAATTATTCTGACTGTGGAGACCTAACTTGGATATGGGTTGTTAATTGTTATGGAATGTTCCTGTTATTCTGCAACTTGTGGTTTGGCTAGAGCAATTCTTGGCTTTTCCATCTGGGAATTATGAGTATTTATTTCCCTTTTTTGAGTATGAGTTCCTTGAGTATTTGATTAGGATGTGGTTATATATAATTAGGGTCTACTTCAGTAAGTGTGCTGTTTGGTCATGGTGGCCATAGAATTCTTGATCTCAGTTATATATTTGGGTGATGAACAATTGTTGTCATTCATTCCTCTTGGGATTTCTTTTAGGGTTGTGATGCTTGTTGATTATAGCAAATATTCAACTTTACCTACCTGGTTATGCTCGCCTACTTTTCTCTTCTGGACAACCTGTTATGTTAATGCCACATATATGAGTATTGTGTTTACTTCTGATTTTCCTTTAAAGTACTAGTGATTTGAATTTATAAGTAACGTGGCCTCTTGTGTGCAGTTGCTGCTTGTGAAGTGAATTGATCACAAAGATTTGGAATCAAGTGAAGAGACTGAAATTCAGGGCTGCAAAAATGGGTTCTGATAAGCAGTCAGCTGGTTTACTAGATACCCTTAATATGCAGAAAGTCAGGACAATTTTAACTCATCCATACCCTTACCCACACGAGCACTCACGGCATCTTTTCATTGCTGTGGTTGTGGGTTGCCTATTTTTCATATCATCAGATAATATGCACACTCTTATCCAGAAGTTAGATACCAACATTAAATGGTGGTCAATGTATGGTTGTTTGCTAGGATTCTTTTACTTCTTTTCATCTCCATTTATTGGGAAAACAATTAGGCCAAGTTATTCAAATTTCAGCCGCTGGTAAGTTCATAATTACTATGCTTCTGATTTTAACCTCTGTTTAATGAAATGAAGCTCATTGAAGTCTCTAATGTGAACTTTTCTTTTTGAAGGTATATAGTCTGGATATTGGTTGCAGCACTTTATCATCTTCCCAGTTTTCAATCGATGGGAGTTGATCTAAGGATGAACCTCTCTTTGTTTTTGACAATATATGTCTCATCCATCTCCTTTCTGGTTGTTTTCCATCTAATATTTCTTGGCCTTTGGCATCTTGGCCTTGTGGCTCGTGTGGCTAAAAGGAGGCCTGAACTTCTTGCAATAGTTCAAAATTGTGCTGTAAGTCATCTGAACATCTCGTAAGCTAATGAAAATTACACGTGATTCTTATTTTATGGCTGTCTCACTTCTGTAGGTTTTAAGTATAGCCTGCTGTGTATTTTATAGCCACTGTGGCAACCTTGCTATAATACGGGAAAAAGCATTTGGACGGAGAGATTCTCTTTGGTTTTCTCTTTGGCGCAAGGAAGAGCGAAATACATGGCTTGCAAAATTTATCCGCATGAATGAGTTCAAAGAACAAGTTTGTAAATCTTGGTTTGCACCAGTTGGCTCTGCTAGTGACTACCCTTTTTTATCTAAGTGGGTCATCTATGGAGAGGTATAATCACTTACAGCTCATAGGTTCTGTTGTCTTCCTATTCAGTATTCACATACTCAAGGATCTTATATTGCTACTGCCCTTTGGCACTTTATTTTATTATTTCCAGTTGAGCTGTGGTGGTTCATGTGCCGAGTCATCAGATGAAATCTCTCCAATATATTCTTTGTGGGCCACCTTAATTGGCCTTTACATTGCCAATTATGTTGTGGAAAGATCATCAGGGTAAGTAAATATCTTCTTATTTTTCTTGACCAAACATTCATTTTACTTCATGTTATTCTCTCTTTCTTTTTTATAAGCTGGTAGGAATTAGAGGCTTTGGATGAAAATATAAAGGTTGGGATGTTATTGAACCATCATCACCATTGCAAAACTTGGATGAATTTTTACAATATTTGGATTCTGTGATCATGTGATGTTAGCATTTTTGTCTACTTAGCTATCTAACCTATATTTTACTTGACGATTCTGGGATGCAAAATGTTATAGGATTATGTTCTCCATCACCGTTCCATCATCTCCCTTGGAGAACTACTATTGCCTATCTATGTGTATAATTGTAGATTCTGTTGTGTTCTCACGTCACGGGCAAGAAAACATAAGGAAAATTGAATAGAGAATAACAATTGGAAAATAAAGAGAAGAAAACACTGGGTTTGCTTGAGACCCAAAACTCCCTTAGACCCTTTTTGGGATTCAATTCCTGCTTGCATTATTCTCAATAATACTCCCTTTTTATAGGGTAAAATACAAGTATACAACTCATAGAATGGCTAAATAAGCTAAGTAATCTGCTGAAATCTTCAAGTTTATTTCTAAATAATTAAACTACCTAAATTAATTCGAAGACTAAGAATAATAAGTTAAGTAACTATTTAGTAATTTCTAAATAACTATTTATTAGTTTCTAAACAACTATTTAGTAATTTATTAATATCTAAACTATGTAATATAATAAAATAAGACTTCCTAAAATCCTGGTCCCAAGCATGTATCATTACTCCCCTCTTGGACCACAAGCTTGTCCTCAAGCTTGATAACCTCGTGCAGCTGTAGCCAACACCTCCCACGATCAAATGGCCTCCTCAAAAGAAGTACAAATGGAAGAAACTCAACTGGCATTCTACATATCAATGGAGGAGCAAATAGTGGTGAGGAAGACCCCAAACTTGGACATCCTTTGAAGGATTTAGTTGGAACAGCAACATTGGATGATGAGAGAGACACCAGAGATGAAGGCTGACCAATACCGTACAACACAACCCTTAAATGAGATGGGGTTGGAGAGTGGTGAAATAACCCTCTCAAGCATAGGACGGTTTTTGGAAAGGGCACAACCTCAATTTCAGTAGAGTCAGCAGCCTTTTGTGTTGAATCAACATGAGGCTGATCGACTGAAACGTTGGCCTGCATCGGCACTATCTCCACATGTGGGTGGTCAACAATGATTGTTGATGATTCAAGTGAAGTAGCCGCATCCTTTGTTTGCTTAATTTTGGAGAGAATCGGCGGAAGCAAGTCCTTCAGGTCAGCGGAAAATTTGCGTAAAACTTTGTCTAAGTGTTTCAACACAGTCGCTATTTCTGTGAGAGCTTCAAACTCCGACTGAGTGATGCCCATGACGCCGGCAACGGAACCAATGTTGTGTTCTCACGTCACGGGCAAGAAAACATAAGGAAAATTGAATAGAGAATAACAATTGGAAAATAAAGAGAAGAAAACACTGGGTTTGCTTGAGACCCAAAACTCCCTTAGACCCTTTTTGGGATTCAATTCCTGCTTGCATTATTCTCAATAATACTCCCTTTTTATAGGGTAAAATACAAGTATACAACTCATAGAATGGCTAAATAAGCTAAGTAATCTGCTGAAATCTTCAAGTTTATTTCTAAATAATTAAACTACCTAAATTAATTCGAAGACTAAGAATAATAAGTTAAGTAACTATTTAGTAATTTCTAAATAACTATTTATTAGTTTCTAAACAACTATTTAGTAATTTATTAATATCTAAACTATGTAATATAATAAAATAAGACTTCCTAAAATCCTGGTCCCAAGCATGTATCAGATTCTCATGTTTCCTAATTCACAGATGGGCTCTTTCTCACCCTGTGCCACACACAGAATACGAGAAGTTGAAGAAAAAACAGATGAAGCCTGATTTTCTGGACATGGTTCCTTGGTATTCAGGGTATGTATATATTTGCATATCTTTCCTATATGGGGAATATAAGCTCCAACAATAATCTAATATGGCAATGCTGTGTTACAGGACATCTGCTGATGTTTTTAAGGCAATGTTTGACCTACTGGTCTCAGTGACTCTATTTGTTGGACGTTTTGATATGCGCATGATGCAGGTTCAATTATTTATTTATTTATTTCTCACAACTCTTTCTAGAATCATTTTCTTTTGCTACTGTTGAAATGTTCTATTGTGTAACATGAGAATTTTTCACAAGTTTTATGAATCTTCAGATTCTGTTGTATTATTTCACATAATAATGTGATGGTTTCCTTTTCCCTATGGAATTATAGGCAGCAATGAGTGGAGATCAAGCTGGAGGTAAACAGGAGGATCTTTTGTATGATCAGTTCAGTGAAGAAGATGGCATGTGGTTTGACTTTATGGCTGATACTGGTGATGGTGGAAATTCTTCGTATACTGTCGCACGTCTTCTTGCTCAACCTTCAATCCATGTCCAAAATAATGGCTCAGTACTTAGTTTGCCTCGTGGGAGTCTGCTTCTCATAGGCGGTGATCTTGCGTAAGCTCAACCTCTGCTCTCAAAATAAATAAATACACACACACAGACACACAGTGCTTGAAGGATAAAAATTATTTTGTTAGTCACATGGTGAATGAGTTATCTTTGACTGTGTCTCATAATAGATTTGTCAAGTACTTGTGTTTGGGCTTTTCCCCCCTGTTTCATATAAGATTTTGTTCGTTGTTATCATCATGGCGTCAATCCATTTTTTTTTTTTTTTAGTACTACTGGCTCTGTTACAACTTACAATGCAATATATGTTCATAACTACTTTCTCAACCTACTAAAACACAAAGAGTCAATATCGCCCCCACTGAGGCTCGAACCGATGACCTCCCATACGGGAGAGCCACTTCGTGCCACTAGACCATTTAAACAACCTCAACCTCTCTGAAAACAGAGGTCAGGTTGTGTACATCTCTCTCTTTCACCAAGCCCTACTTGAAATGGAAGTCTTGCACCCTGGGTACAGCATTATTGATAGTTTAAATTTAATTCCCTTGGTTAAAATGCTATTCTGATCCATTGGAATTACTGCTTATCTAGTTAATTGATTACTTTTTTTGCTTCTATTTCCTAGGTATCCTAATCCATCAGCTTTTACATATGAGAATCGCCTATTCCGCCCCTTTGAATATGCTCTTCAGCCACCAACATGGTATAAAGAAGATCATGTTGCGGTGCACAAGCCAGAATTACCTCACGGAATGGCTGATTTGAAGCAGTACAAGGGGCCTCAATGTTTTGTTATTCCCGGAAATCATGGTTAGTCTACTTTTTTCACGGCATGTTATGAAGTATTGCATCATCCTTATTGCTAGTGTCAATAGAGTAATAGGATTTGATTTTCGAGAACGAGAACTTAATCTATGTTATCATATTGCTGGCCAAAATCCTTTTGTGCCTTACAGATTGGTTCGATGGACTCCAGACATTCATGAGGTACATTTGTCACAAAAGCTGGCTGGGTGGTTGGTTTATGCCTCAAAAGAAAAGCTATTTTGCCCTGCAGCTGCCAAAAGGGTGGTGGGTATTTGGTTTTGATCACGCTCTTCATTGTGATATTGATGTATACCAATTCAAGTTCTTCTCAGAATTAATACGGGATAAGGTATATTCTTTTATGTTAGTTTCCCTGTTATCATGTTCGATTTACTTGTTATGCACTTATGCTTAAAATATATAATGTGATACCTACTTTTTCCTCTGTGCTTTATGATATACTGCTATAAATATAAACGAACTTAACCGTTATTCTTATAATCCCTATTATCATGTTGGATTTCTATGCTTTCGGGTCTAAATAAACATTTTCCCAACATCCAACACCATAATAGAATGAGAATTATGATTCTATATATTGTGGATCTTCTTTTCAGGTTGGAGAGAATGACTCTGTGATCATTATGACACACGAACCTAATTGGCTTAGTGATTGGTATTGGAATGACGTAACTGGGAAGAATGTTACCCATTTAGTACGTGACCATTTAAAGGGGAGGTGTAAACTTCGAATTGCCGGGGACTTGCACTATTACATGCGCCATTCATGTGTTCCATCTGACAGGCCGGCTGATGTGCAACATTTGCTTGTTAATGGTTGTGGTGGGGCTTTTTTGCACCCTACACATGTCTTCAGAAATTTTAAGGACTTTAATGGGGTGCCCTACCAATGCAAAGCTTCTTACCCATCATTTGAAGATTCAAGCCGGGTATGGAGTCTGAATCTTCTAGTAATTATTCTGTCGGATACGTTTCTTCAAATAGATTGTAATATGGTTATGAATAAACGCAGATTGCATTGGGGAATATATTGAAGTTTCGGAAGAAAAATTGGCAATTTGATATCATTGGTGGCGTCCTATACTTTTTATTAGCCTTTTCTATGTTTCCTCAGGTAACTTTACGGTGGATATAAACATACTACTTAGTTGGGCATCATAATCGTCTTTGCTTAGGTTGATTAGCGTCATTACTTTGTTCTTTTGTTCTATCGTCTTTACTCATACTGACCATATTGTATTCTTCCAATCTTTACTTACGCTACATTGGATTTGAACTCTTTTCTGTGTATTCACCAATGTTGAAAAAATCGCTAGGCGCCCTCTAGGCGCCTGGAGACCGCCTGGCGGGGGCGCCTAGAGCGCCTAGGCGGGCGCCTAGAGCGCCTAGGCGGGCGCCTAGAGAGCCTAGGCGGGCGCTTAGGAGGCCGGCCGCCTAGCGCCTATGCGCGATTTTTGCAACACTGGTATTCACTTTTCCACGTAAAGTATCCTAGTAGATTAGATGTAATGCATATGCCATGACTAATAATTTCCCATTGGTTTAAAGTGTCAATTAGATCACATCTTAAAGGATAATACCTTTTCGGGCCACGTGGGGAGCTTCTTTAGCGCAGTGTGGGATTCCTTTATATACTTGTTGGAACGCTCATATGTATCGTTGGCGGCTACTGTGTTATTATTAGTGGCGGCAATATGTTTTATTCCCTCCATAGTGTCTCGGAAAAGGAAAGTCATGATTGGGATTCTTCACGTGTCTGCCCACTTAGCTGCAGCGTTGATTCTCATGCTTCTGTTGGAACTTGGCGTTGAGACATGCATCAGACATGATCTCCTCGCAACATCAGGTCAGATGTTGTACCTTTACTTTCTACGATTATTTGAGATTTGGTTTTATTGATGCAACTCCACGACTACAATATTTACTTATCTACCCTTGAGTTGTTATCTTGCATTTGTTAATTGGTTAATTAACAATGTAGGCTATCATACTTTATACGAATGGTATCGCTATGTTGAGAACGAGCATTTTCCGGACCCCACTGGTCTTAGGGCACGTATAGAACGATGGACATTTGGCCTTTATCCAGCATGTATCAAGTATCTAATGTCTGCTTTTGATGTACCCGAGGTAACAAAACTTTCCAATGAAACTAAACAAGCGAAATCTTTGCCTCTTTTATCGTTATTGATTAATGCATGCAATTATCAGGTAATGGCAGTGACGAGGCAAAACATCTGCAAGAATGGGATGGATTCACTCTCCCGAGGGGGTGCTGTGATATATTATACATCCGTTTTTCTTTATTTCTGGGTTTTCTCAACTCCGGTGGTATCTCTGGTCTTCGGAAGTTATCTGTATATCTGTATTAATTGGCTCCACGTACATTTTGATGAAGCCTTTTCTTCTCTCCGTATTGCCAACTACAAGTCATTTACACGATTCCACATAAACACCAAAGGCGACCTTGAAGTTTTCACACTTGCAGTTGATAAGGTAAGAAATGTTTTAAACAGTATGTGATAACTAGAAATTCACCCGCTAATCTATCTCAATCTTCTGCAACTAATAAGAAATTCCCCCGCTAATTTGTCTGAATCTTCTGCAACTAATACGTTCTTTCTATGACAACTTGACCTACTTTTTGGTGTCGTGATATTTTAGGTTCCGAAAGAGTGGAAGCTAGACTCAAACTGGGAAACGGAGCCACAGCAGCCTAGCTATGTGCGGAAATTCCCTAGCAAATGGAGAGCGACGTCACTCCAACAAGATCCTATAAACACTGTTCGGGTTGTTGATCATTTCGTCATTGAGCAAACAGAAAAATCTGATTCAGAATCGATGAACGGGTCAAAAACTCAATGACAGGTTCAGTTACTAACTAGTCCGTGTTTGTTTTGTACAAATGTTTTAGCCGATTCTCTAGATGGCAATCGAAATCGTTAGCAGGATGAATTGAATCTTAGGATCCAGTGTAGATCACTCATGTTATGTACTGAACCACAGAAGTTGTGTATGATGAGAGGAAGAAATTATGGGCAAAGTATATGAAATTTTAAGATTTTTGTCATGTCCTGTCTTCTCTTCAATGTACTAAACAGCCTCTCTTAGCTGTATTTCTGGGATGTTTGTACATCTTATTCTTAGATTATCACCCTTGGTTTAAAAAATGGGATTTTCCGGGTTTTTTCCATGGGAGAGGGAATTGGCAAGTTCTTGAGCATCCTCAATAGTCATAAATTTTGAGAAGTTTTTGCAGGTGTGAATAAGAAAGAGAAGATGAGATAAGAGAAAAAGGAAAAAAAAAAAAAAAAAGGTAAAACAAATTTGGGAAAAAAAACTTCAGATTAACGTGCCCCGCGTGCACATGCATGCTGTGGGTACACGACCATGGCATGATTTTTTTTCTTGGTGGGTCCACAAGTCTAATAAAAATCAATGCTTTGCAGTAAAATTATTCACGCTCTCTCTCCTTCATATATCCTTAAAAATCTGCAAAAACCTTACAAAGTATACTATTGTAGATCCCCTTATTGGTGGTATGTATTTTTTTCTTCTTCTCTCTTTCCCTCTTGGCGGGACAAAAGGACAAAAACCCAACTTAAATGTCCCGAAGGGGTGGTTGAGTGAGTATGCATGATTTTTATACCAGGAAGGTAACGAGTTTGATTCTTATCAACATTCTCTTGGTAAACTCATTGCATAGTGGTGTGTCTTTATAGCGCAATTTATCTCTTTTGTGTGATTTAAAAACTATTGTATATGAATGAGGTTTATTTCGTGCCCACAATAAGTGGCCAACTGGCCCTTGTTTCTCCAGAATTTCTAAAATTTGGAGCAAGCTCTGTTTCTTTCTGCATTTGTTTTAGGCCCTTTATTCTTTATCGGATGCAATTCTATGAATAAGATAGTGAATGGCCTATACCATTCATTTTGTTGTCATCTTCCACTGCCAAGCATGAGCATTGGTCTTTTTCCAGCATGTGCCAAGTATGAAGAGTGGAATATAACTCAATAATAAGTTATTCTTCGATTTAGACACATACCCTTTTTTTTAAAGCCTCTTTTTTCATTTCTAAAATTTTTGAATTGGACAAATTTACCCTTCAATAATATATAGATTTATTATTATGAACATATAGTGTTCAGTAATTATAAACATAGAACCGTGTCCACCTTACATCATAATGCTTCTAGTCTTATATAGAGTTAGGTAGGTGAGATATTAGGCTAACTACAGCCAATGAAACATTTTACTTGATCAATTGACCTAGTTCATTCATTTGCATCTCAAAGTAAAGATTCTTTAATTCCTTCAATTAACTTCAATGACAATAAACTTAAACAATGAAAATGTCAAAAGAACCAAAAGAATCTTTCTAAAACTATTTTCTTATACTGTTTTTTACAAGTGTAAGTGGCTGCAAAAACTATGACTGCATTCTAATCTGTGTGGAGAAACTGTTCATACACAGTTCCCTTCAGTTTCTCCCGGACTTCGTCCCAATTCTCGACTTGATTTGATAGTGTCCCGCTGTGTATCCTAACCTGAAGGCTGGTGAGGTTTCGAATTGGCAGCCCGAGAAACTCTTGAACATCTGTAAGTTTCTGCAGAAAAAAAAAAACAGTCGAGCGATGTTACAATGCAGTACACATATATAGTGCAAGTATTAATTGAATGTTCTCGAGGAGGCTTACAGTGCGGTTGCTGACAATATCTTCGTAGTAAAAGACAATGTGTCTCGTGTTCTTGAAGTAATCGAGAGCCGTGGCAGAATTTCTCAGCGTGCTCCTCAGATTGGGTATGAGTAACGACATATTTACAGTCGGTTTGTATTTGGCTAGTACTTGAGCCTGTAAGCAAGAAATGACTAACATAGTAAGTGCTACTGACTCTGTTACAATGCAGTATTTGTTCATTACTACTTAAAAAAAAAAAACATAGTAAGTGCTAAGATCGTAAAACCAACAGATATGTGTATAGCGAGATTGAAGAAAGAGAGACCTCGTGTGCAGAATGAACGTGGGATTTATGCGTTCCATTTAGCAGTTTAGCATCCTTGTCGTAAGTATTGGCGAGGAGAGATATCAACCTGCGAAGGGGATTCCTTCGCAAAAGAAATATTGTGGACACGCCTCTTCTCTTGAAGTAGTCCACAATCTCCTCGTGGTGTACCATTATTCCCTTCAAGTCGACACAACATTTAGTCTAGTGAGAGAACATATGGGTTTATAAGGTCATGAGTTAGACTAGCTAATTGATTGCCAGTACTATAGTTCCATTCATTCACTAAAGCTTAGAAGACAGATTTAAGGATTATCTTAGTATTATGTATATATATATAGGTGTGCAAGATCGAGAACGAAATGAAGTGACTAGTCACCTGATTAAGCATCCATTTGAAGCCAACAGCAGCTAAGCATTCATTCTTTGAGGAACTCGTCAAAACATCGAGATTGTAAACTGTATCGAGCGTCTTTATGATCATCGAAGCATTACTCCTCCTTGCCCTGACATTGAAGATTTCGCCATTGGAGCTCACATTTATGTGGCTATTCAACAATGTCTCGAACCACCCACTCCCTGATCTCTGCATAGACAAGATGGCGAAAAACCGAACAGGATTGCAAACACATTCCTCCCTGCAAACGAATCGCGCAATCAATCTAAATCATCCATCTCCACCCAAATGAACACACAAACTTAAGTTACCTGCTAAAAGTCTGAGGTTTGGGGAAATGCAGCAAAGGAATCTCCCATTTTTCGACATTTCTAGGAGTGGAACACAATGGATCAACCAGGTATCTTACAGAATCTGGGCTGCCAAAATTAGCTGTTTGTCTCATGCAAATAGAAAAAATGTACACTCCACACACCACTGCAAAAAGCAACACCACTGTTCTTAACACCAGGGGAGATTTCTTAGGTGCCTTTGTCTGAAATATGTCCTAAACCAAAAAAAAAAAAAAAAAAACATGATTTCCCTGAGTTCATAACTACTAAAAACAACATTCTTAATTTCACAGAAACAAATAAATCTTTCATAAAAATCAAATCAGTGGTGGAGAAACAAGAAAGTTAACCTGAGACTTCCATCTAAAACTCTCCATATAATGTCAGGACAAGAAAAGAAACACAATTGCTGTCTGGGTTTTAGCTATAATCATGTCTTATAAACAGTTAGAGAAAGAAGGAGAAATAAATGGTCTCTGGAAAAAGTCTTCCACCCAGACCAAGAAAATTTCTCCTTTTTTTTTTTTTTTCTTCCCCTAGATTAATATATGCAAAAACCAAACAACAATTAGTCAAACAAAGCTATCCTATCCTTTCCCATGACTACATATGTCAACTCCTGCCGGCTCAACAGAAAAATATAAGAACATCATTAATAACATCAAATCAAAATTTTTTTTTTTCTTAAAAATCAAAACCCAATCTACCTTGAAGAAGACAAATATCTCTGCCATGTTTGAAGAAAAATGGGAAGGGATAATAGCATGGGCATTTGTGGTTCCTGTATTGAGTGAGTGCTGGGTTCCTCTGATAAAGATGGGGAGGAAAAGTTTGAAGCTTTTCCTCGCTAAGATCGAAATCTTGTAGTTTGTTAATGATGGACTGTCTTTAATTAATGGCATTTCCTGTTTTGTATTATTAACCAGCGCGCCAACCCCTGCCAACATTGAATTTTTTACGTAGGACTGAATCGGTGATTCCTACGTTATTTTGTTGAATTAGTTCTTCAAGAATGACATTTGTGTACGGGAGAATCTTTTTGTACAAAATATTGTTTTAAGGCTGTTTGGTTGTTCACTCTTGATATCGATCTGAAATATAAAAAAAAAAAAGTATTTCCTACTTTTCACGTTTGTTTACTCATCTTTAAATATTAAAATGGGAATCAAATCACCTTTCAATCACTTTCAGTAATTTTTTGAAAGGATCACTTTCAGTAATTAATTAATCATGTTTTACTTTGTAATTGTATTAGCAGTTGTGCATTCAAAAAAAAAAAAAAGTATTAGCAGTTGTTTTACTGAAAAATATTACACCTATTCTTGAGTTTCACTTTTTCTCACTAAATTTTGATGTTGACATTTTTCTTTGAGATCCATAGAATGAACATAACTAATCATTCATTGTCACACCAGAAAGTAAAGGTGGGAGAACCAGAAATAGGGAGTATATATAATGGAACTCTCATGTTCAAAGCTATTGAATTTTTTTCGTTATTATACAGAATCTTGTTACAATTTAATTTAAGAATTAATGATCATTTTAGTCCATCGACTATGCCGTAATTATCAAATTGGTCATTGACTATCAATTTTGACCTATTAAATCAACTATTGATTTCGTAACCGATTTTATTCTCCGTAATTACCAAATTGGTCATCGGCCAGTTTGATGGATGACCAAATCGATTATGAAATCAAAAATTAAGGATTTAATTGGCTAAAATTGATTGTCGAGAATCAATTTGATAATTATGACATAATCGAGGGACAAGAACGATCATTAAATCTTAATTTAATTAACTCGTGATTAAGTTAGGCTTTCTCATATATTTAGTTAGGTATGTATTTTTATAACATACAAAAATAAATTAAAATTTTGTATATAACGCAATACCAAATACTCTCTAAGATATAGGATAAGTAATATTTTACCCTTTGTCAATACTCAATAGGGTTGTAAAGCAAGGATGATGAATTTGGGTCACACCAAACGAGGTGTAATTTTGTGTGAGTCGCGAGGGATTTTAATATAGACCAATTTAACATTATTAGACTAATAAATTCACTATTGTTTTGAGAAATAAAATAATAATTGATCCGTCGGTGGATGTTATCATGTTGATATACCATTTATTATTTTTGTTTTTGTGTATTTTAATTTTTTTTTTCTGATATGACAGTGATTACTATTTGATGATGTATATTGGTTAAATTTCGCTTCATATGTAATAACTCGTAAATACAACATACTTAACTAAGAGCAAAAGAGAATATTGATAGAAATTGAACTCAACGTTCTGATACGAGAATCATACACTACTCACTCAGTCACTTCTTTCTGGGGCAAAAACACGGAATTAGTATTAAATTCGTACAATATGATCATTTAAATTTTTTTTTTTTTTTTTGAAAGTTATTGGCTCTATTACATTGTAGTATCTGTTCATATACTTTCTCAACCTACTGAAACACAAAGAACCAATAACGCCTCCATTGAGGCTCGAACTTATAATCTTCCAAATAGAAGTCCAACCCGGGTACCATTAGACCACATAGTCCTGGCATATGATCATTTAAAATAATTCGTCAATAATGTAATCTTTGTCAAAACTTAAAGCTAGAAGAAAAATGGCCTAAGATGACGACATGACCTTATCCGACAACTACTTGGTTTGACTTTAAACGTGATTTAGGAAGCCTACTTGCCTTTAATGGATCATGAATATGCATATCTGACGATGCCCACATGTCCGCCACAATTTCTTTTCTTTTCTACCAAAATATGAATATAAAAAGAAAAAGGAAAAAGGGTCCAATAAGACCTCAACATTACTCAAGAAATTAATTAAGTCTTTAAACTTTCAAATGTTATAATTAAACCATTAAACATATTATTTTAGAGTATTAAGGCCCAAAAAGACCTATAATTACAGATCACTAGGATTCCGGCGAACCACCAACGAGATTCCAACCATATTCCGACAAAAAACACTGGCCCAAAAATCAGTTAGTGACCTATAATTATAGGTCACTAGAGTTCTGGCGAACCACCAACGAGATTCCAACCATATTCCGACAAAAAACACCGGCGAAACGGTTGCGGTGTCGTTTGATTGCCTTCTCCTGACGATACTAGCGATCATTTCACCGGTATTTTTTGCCAGAATGGTCGAAATCTTGCCGGATGTGCGTCGGAACCCTATTGACCTGTAATTATAGGTCACCAATCGATTTTTAGACATCAATGCTCTAAAATAATATGTTTAAGGACTTAATTGCAACATTTGAAAATTTGATGGTCTAATTGAATGTTTAGGGGCCTATTTGACCATTTTCCGAAAGAAAAATATACCATATAAAAAATATAAGTGCATATTTTTGACCCGAGGGAATCCATCTCGCAAATATTAGAATACTAACCATTCTGGGCTATGTTTCATTGCGCCATGTCTTCATCAAGTGAGATTTACATATCAACAAGCGAAAAGGATGCACATTTTAAGTATGATTTCAGGATAATCAAACTAAAGCAGAAAGCTTTCATTGTCTAATAGATAGTAAAAACAGCTATAATCAATCTGATATGAAGAATCGAAGATCCAAAACCGAAAGGGGGAAAAACACTTAATGCCGGTATTGGAGGTAAGGTAAATAAGCATGCTGCAAACTCACCATCCAAAGCTATAAGTGCACTCTTCGGGCTGGAACTGCCCGTTTTACAGGAAGACGATTAACCGGACTATCTGCCCCATAAACCGGAATGCCTTGGGTATATCCCGCAAACATTTGTTTTTCTCCTTTCTAGACCAGTGCTGTGTTAACATAACATAACAATTCAAGTAAATAACTGTCGGGGAACAAATACTGCATTGTAACAGAGTCAGTAGTACTATTAGAAAAAAAAAAGCGCCTTCAAAGTCGAACATTCATAAGAATAATATTTACCTCACTGAGCATGTTGAGCTTCTCCCTTACACCCTGCAGCTGCTTCTCGGGGTCTCCTTCCCACGTGTAGACCTCCAATACTCTTCCTTCTAAGAGCTTTTCAGAAACCTTATAATCGCAAACAGGAGAACGAGATAAGAGACGGGACTTCATGACATCCGGCTCAAGTACAGTTATGAAGAAAGTATATAATCATTAAACGCACAATGGAAAGATAGTCTCCAGTATTTTACTCAGCCAATTGATGAAAACCGCCTTATAATACACACCGTATGAAACATTCATTAGTGCACTACAGGGGAAATCTTTCGTGAAATCTTTTGTTATAAATCATCTCCAAATTAATTTTTCTGAAAGGTGAAAAGAGTAGTTTAGGATTGTGTTTATATGATCTATCAAGCAACCGGAGGCCAGGAGGGAACTAAAGTAGGCTTAGTCACTAAACAAAGCATCTCGAGATTTATTTTCTAACGAATGAAATAAAAAAACAGATCTAATTAGTGAGCTATAAATCAAGAAAAAGATTGAACCTTTTTAGCTATAACTTGACCTCCAGCTATATGGGAGAAGTATATGTTGTAGAAGTGGCAGAGAAACAATGGGGGATTAGTCTCCGCGAGCTCCTCGAGATACTTAGAGTAATCAACACCAGGACTGCTAGGTTCTGGAATAACATTACCCTGTTGGCTAAACCATTCTAAATCTTTGGAAATGCAATCTGCTCGTTCTAATCCCGTCTTTCTGAAGTAAGCATCTGTTCCACACAATAGCAGGATATATCAAGTTCAGCTTAAGCATTAAATCAGTTAAAGTGATGAAACATAACAAACCATTAACCATTAAAAACCCAATCTTGAGATTTCATTCCTCTTTTCAGTGATTTGAATGGAAATTGGGGGCAACCTAGCCAAATTGGTCAGACAGTTTAATTGGTAACTACAAGGTTACAAGTTCCACCATTGTGAGAGCGGCCTATTAGCTCAATTCGTGTTGTCGACCTGATGACCACAAGGTTACAAGTTAGACTTTAGTGGGAACGGCCTATTAGCTCAATTCGTCAGGTTGTTGACTTGATAACCACAAAATTACAAGTTCGACTATAGTGGGAGCGGCCTATTAGCTCAATTCGTGTTGTTGACCTGATAACCACAAGGGGAGTGGCCTATTAGCTCAATTAATGTTGTTGACCTCATAACCACAAGGTTACAAGTTCAACTTTAGTGGGAGCGGCCTATTAGCTCAATTCGTCACGTTGTTGACCTGATAACAACAAGGTTACAAGTTCGACTTCGGTGGGAACCGCCTATTAGCTCAATTCGTTAGTTGACCTGATAACCATGAGGTTACAAGTTCGACTTTAATGGGAGCCCGCATATTGGCCTTCTTAGTCAACTAAGGCGGCTATTGGCTTTTTTGATTTGGGTTATCCGGCACACTCGGATAGTAGTTGCGGGTTAAAGATATGAAACAATTAGCAAAAACACAGAAAAAATGTAGCAAAATCCGAAGAATACATACAAGAAACATCGCTGGATTCATCAACAATGCGTTCAATTGTGCCGAACACAAGCTTAGTATCCACAAGGTACTTCAAGAATCCTTCCGTACTAGGCTGCCAAGACTTTCCATTTCCATCCTCATCATCTTCATCCACTGAAACCGACCCTTCACTGTCACTGACCTCACCTTCCTCCATTGCTTCTTCACTGCCACTCTCTTCCGATTCTTCTTTGTCACTCTCACCTATCGGCTTACTCTTTGACGGTTTGCCGCTGTTGCGGAGTTTCATCGTCACAAACCTCATCTCTTCAGTGATACCCTTGATCTCGCCAGGGTATTGCTTTCTGTACCTCCTTCTTTTCTGTTTCAACGGCGGCAAACTCCCCGTCGCCGCCGCCGCCGCAGAAAATGACGCCGACCCATTTCCGCTTTCGTCGTCTTCTTCTTCTTCTTCTTCTTCACCGCTGTACTCATCGTCTTCGGTTTCTGACTGTGAAAGTGTTGCTGAGGAAAAGTTGGAGCTTGAACAATGGAGGACTGAAAGGGGTCTGTTGGTTCTGAGAATTATTTTCTTGATAGTTGGGATAATTGGGAGTGAAAGACTATCGTTGGGAGTGAAAATTTGGAAATTTGAAGATTTTATCGGCGTGGGGTTTGCTCCTATTACCGCAGCACAAGAGTAGCAAGCCATTGTTGCTAATCCTATTCTTCTCCCATGCTCGAGCGTCGATTATTTGTAGAAGATAAACCCTCATGTTAAACTAGGAATTAGTAAGAAACTGGGGGTCTTGGCTGCAAACTTGAAATTACTTCTTAATTTATGTGCCAGAATAAATTTCACTCTCATGTAATAATTCACAAAGTACATATGATGAATAAATCGTACTAAAATGATTTTGTGTGAGACCAAACTCGTGAAATTCTAACAAGAGAAATATATTTCACCAATTATTAAAATTGAGAACAAAAGTAAATTACTCCCTCGTCTTATTGTACTAAAATATGTTTGTATAATTTGTCTAACCAATAATTTGGGGGTGGTTGAATGAAAAGGAATTCATCCACCTTCAACGAAAGGTCAAAAGTTTAATTATTGACTTTGGGTATAGAACAATCAATCTTCAGGTCAGTTGTTTCACGCCAAATAATATAAATAATCTCCTAATTGAATGGTACACACCTCTATTGAGTGAGACAGTTGACTGAAGATTTAAGATTGTTTCACAGCTAAAGCCGGAATAAGATGAACATTTCAATGTAACTTGATGAATCCAGCAGTCTTGCGCCACTTCCAAGAATCAGACGGAGATTTGGGCGGAGGTGGAAGCAACAAAGCCCGCCGGCGGCAAAGACCAAACGGCCATCCTTCGCACTGAGTAAACTGCAGAATGTTGGAGCCCGGCCTCCAGAAATCTGGGAAATCGATCCTGCTCAAGCTCGAACACCGGGAAAAGCTCGTCTTGGCCGACACAAATGCCTCCATGCTGCCGCTAGTAGAGCTTGAGGAGTGAGAGAAATGGCTGCCAACAGACACAAACTCCTCTCTTTCTTCACCATTATTTCCCTGCAGCTTCTGTTGCATTATTGCCTTTGCAGGGATGAACAAATCTCCGGCAGCGGGGGAGAAATCGCAGCAGAAATTCTCCGAGCTGGTAAGGCTCATCTTCTGCCTCAATTTTGATTCCAGGTATTTGCTTATAACTGCCGAGACAAATTCCTGCAATAAATGGTGAAAAGAAAATCTCAGAAAACCAAGGAGATTAGCGCAGTTTTCTTGGGTGTGAATGAGCTAGCAATATACTTCATCTTCATCGTAATCACTGGTTAGAGCTTCTTCTTCTTCTTCTTCTGTTTCCAGTCTGGAAGTAGAGAACTTGCAGCATAAACCATGGCAGTTAGCAAATGCATCCTTCAAAGTCGAGGAAAGGCATTTGCTGCATCTCTTGGAAGGATTTGGTGAGCTTTCATCACGATAGCAGGCCATTTTTTGGGTGAGAGATGATGGTTGGAGAGCTTGTTGGTAAACTTAGCTTGCAGGTGAAACTACCCTACAGCACTAAATACTTGGAGTGCAAACTTTACTATGCTAAAAAGTATTCTATTGGAAATCCTGCATGAATATGCCCTTTTATCTTGCCCACAAAAGACAAATTAATCACCATTACTATATAAATTTTCAACACTACACATCTCAGCTCGAAAAAGATAATGAATAAATAAATCATGGTTACTCAGTAATCCATTAGGTGAGAGGAACAATACTAGTGTCCACCACAATGGATGTAAATCATGTAACTCCCACATTGGCATTGTGAAGTTGTTTGAGTTCGATCATGTGGTCTTACTCATAACCTATCACTCATGAACCAACTGAGCTGTCTGTGCGGACAAAAAGTAAAATTTTCTAGCCAGACCCCCACACCCTGGTCCGACAGGATAGTGAATGGATAAATCACCGTGACTCAGCAATCCATTACAAGCCATTAAGTGGGAGGAACCATGCTTGTTGCCCACAAGAACCCCACCACATTGAGTGTAATTCTCATACTACGATTGTTAGGGTTTGATCATATGTCATTGCCAGCAATTTACCGACCAGGAACCAGATGAGCTATCTGACAGACAAATGTCCATTTATATCTTCCTATGACCTTGCAATTACATTAACAACCCGCATACAGATTGCCCTTATTTGTCGGGTTCGAATTTTTTCCAATATTTTTTTGGGTGAAGAAAACTTCAGAAAAGCAAATGAAACTAATTAAATAGACCAGAGCTTATTCTGGTAGGTGTTGAGAGACAGATAGCTCATGAATTCAGTCACAAATGGGGTGGGTGGTGAGCTAACTTTTGAGTTTATGAGCCAACCTACAGGATAAAGTTAGGTACTGCACTCATAATAATAATGTGAGCAAGAAAAAACCACCAGACAGAGATGATGCAAGCTAGCCATGACTGTAGAGAATATAACATTTCCAGGAGTTGAAGTAACTGCACTTTTCTTCCTGTCAAATGAAGACATCATTCCAAAAGTGGAGAATAGTAAAACCGTATTGTTACTCATACTTAACCTTTGTATTTCTCGAGTGAGTTAATACCAGTTTTGATCATTCGATCAATCTATGAAGTTGTGAAAAAATGGTCAGACCCAATACAATGATCTATCCACCATACAGCAAAGAAGAGACAAAGAAAGTTCTCAGAAGCTGCAATGGGGAAAAATTGAATGTCTGGTTAACAAGATACAGACTGATTTTTACCACTCCACACAGCTATAAAGCAGCTTTCTTCAAGGATCAAGGTTGCGTTATCTTCTTCTGTTAGCGAGTAGCTTATACACTTACAACTCCAGACATCCATGGAACGACTAATGGTGCATTCGGATTGACATTTCTAAAAGATTCAGAATACCGCGCCTTAAAATTCAATCTGGGATTCTCTGACTGCATTTTTGGAAAACACCAAAAAAGAAGACAAAGAAGAACAACTTTATCTCATACTGATTGTCCTTAGATTATGAGCATCGAGAAATATCATAAATTATTAGAGTAAAGTCTGACTTACAGATTTCAGCCAGCATTCCTGATGTTTATGTTGATAAATATCAGGGGAATAACATCCCGTTTCAGATGGGCAGTAAACCCATATATTGCACTTTTTCTCGCCTGGTTTTGCATGCTTAGCTTGATCCAAACAAGCCATACAACAGTCATATGCAGATTCTTTAAGGTGGGTTAGGCCCCATCTGACTGCATCGCCATCATAATCTGTATGAAGCTCTGCGTGACATTCAGGAGGAAGTTTTTTGCCAGCAATCATTTCACTTTCTGGGGAAAAAAGAAGTCGATCTTAGTGAGAATAGAAGTCTTTGAAATATCCCAGTTTTACTAGATCCTTTCCATTTCACAAACTCTAGACCATATAAATATGGAATGAATGTACAATAAAGACTGAAATCACATGTTTAATTGATGAGATATTCAATTTGAAAGTTCTTTCTCTTTCAGTTTCTTTGTTTTCAAGTGCTTATATTTCTCTGGTTTGATCAAAAGATGCGTTGAGAAAGTCACTGAAACTGAAAGGGAAGTAATCACCAAATTCCGCTCCATCAGGTTTGTCATCATGTTCCTTATTAATGACCTCAACTGGTATATGGAGACCAATTTCCTCAGACAGCTCAAACCAATCAATCTCCAAAGCTCTTGCTAATGCAACTGCAAACAAAGTTCTCTGAAATATTAAGCGCCTTAGAACAATTCCACACGATACATGCGCAACAAACCAGATCATGTAAAAGGTATATGTTATATTTCTCAGAAATAAATGCAAAATAGACAGCAAAAGTGAAGGAGGGCTGAAGAGGATATACCAGCTTCCTCTGGTGCAATACTCGAATTTGATTTATTCCCATGTATAACTTTATTGGCTTCTTCTACTTTTGCCTTGCGCCAGTTTTCAACTGCCTCTGCTTATTCAATAAACCTTCAATGAAGCTAACCATATAACCATATATTATAAATAAAATGCAGAAAAAACACCCACAATTCGATTTCCTCTTTCGAGTAGTATAATTGCATGATGCTGCCCAGTAGTCACTCAAGCAAAAGATTTAGCTAGCATAGAGAGTTCCTTGCATATGCATTATGGTTAAATTTTTATAGAGCCATTAGTTACATCATTTCATCTTCTACTGCTATCTACAACTGTCCTGCACCTCTCAACTTTGCACTAGCCACGTGCACTACCATGCCATAACAATATACCATTACTAGGCTCAAGTCAAGAACTGGTCACTATTGGTTTGGTAACCACAAGGTTCCACGTTCAATTCCTTGAGGGAGCAGCCTATTGACCTTCTTGGTTTGAGTCGGTCAGCCATGGGCAACCTAAGCTGGTTTACCTCATTGTCGTCATCTGTCTGCTAGTGTCAAAATGCGGGATTTACCCAGTGTAACCCTCGAGTAGTGGGTGCAAGTTTTCCTCGTCATCCAAGATTAAAAAAGATTTGATCGAACGGTATAGGAAACAATAACAAAGATCAACCCAAGTTACTCAAGCAAAAGATGATGCACTCACCTCTCTGCAAGGTTGCATTTACAACACCTTTCAAGCCTCTCAAAGTTGCTATAATCTCATCTGCTATCTTCTGTTTCATGGGATGTGGTGCTCCCACTACCTTTTCTTCCACTAAAAGCTTCTGCTTTATTTGTGTTACCTTCAGAAAAATAGAATGTGCTTCTCACCCATTAGCACTGAAAGCATAAGATAATTCACATCAATCCAAATCTATTAGTAATAGCATATCACAGCATTTGTAGCATTCCCTATACAAATATGCTAACAAAGACCATATTCAAAGGGGACATACCAGCTTAACAAGCTCTGTAGGTTCTGATCCTTTTCGTATTCGAATAGAGTCTGCCATTGTCCTAATCTGATCTGGGCTATATCTAAAATCTGCAAACAAAATACCATATATAAACCACCATTCTACTGCTCAAAAAAGCAAACTTTTTAGGGTAACCCAAATAAGTTGGTAAGGTTATTAACTTGATAATCACAATATTAATAGTTGGACTCTTAGCAGAAGTAACCTATTGGCCTTCTTGAATCTTGAGTTCTTGGTATGAGCCGACTATGGGCAACGAGTTGGTAATTGCAAGATTAATAGTTCATTAGTTCGACTCCTATTAGAAACAACCTATTAACCTTCATGGTTTGAGCCACCTCGAATAGTGGTTGTGAGTTTCATGGTTACTCAAAAAACAAAACAATAAAAAAAAAAAACAAAAAACAAAAAACAAAAAACAAAAAAAAACAAAAACAAAAAAAAAAAAAACAAACAAACAAACAAACAAACTTTCCAATTTGGGTCTACATAAAAACCAAAATCAACAGACGGGCAATCCAAAAATGGCAGAATCATATACACAGACTTACCCCTCTGGTTATCGTTATACATGTACAGAGAAGTGAAGAGAGAGTGAAGCACAAAGAAAGCAACCACGGTGTTGATGGAGCAGACAGTGATTGTTGCCCACTTGTACGAACACCATTTCCCTCTTCTCCCGCTGCGGTAACCCCCGCCCAACCACTCTCCACCTCTCGTCATCTCCCTCAGAAAAAATCAATAAAATTCGTGAACATTTCAGTGGTTTCTCCCTCAACTCTGCTCCCCCTCCGTCCCATAATCTCTCATTATAATATGGAGTATCTCTGTACGTGCCCTGTAGAAGAAGCAAAGACTGCAACTTGCAAGAACGAAGAAATAAAGAGAGTGTTTTATCGAGATTCTGCAAATTTTTGGGAATTGTGGACTAGGGATCCGAGAGATCGGTAGCATCAATGTCACGTCTTCTTCTTTGGGCTGATGACTGATTAGACAATAAAGTGGGTAGAATAGTTGTTAATAATATAATAACGGTTTCTTTGTTGTTCTTTATCTGTACATGAACAGAGAATCTGCAAACCAGGAAAAAAAAAAAGGTGAAATGACAGAGTGTGTAGAATGTAGGAGTTGAGCTTACTCAAAAATGGGGTTAACGCCCACGTTCTTGTGAAATGTGTTTGAGTTTCTGCGATTTGCAGCTGAAGCACTAGAGAGGAGGGTTAACCTTGTTGGATCTAGTCATCACAAATTCTCAACTTTAGGAGCTTCAATGTTGGATTTAAGCATTTGTTACTTGATAGAGGAAGTGAGAAACTGAGCGCCCTTTCTCGGTTCGGCATGTTTGCAGGTTGCCTTCCGCTCACAGCCTCACCTGAATATCCATTGCGCAATTAGAATAACTCACATTAAGCCCGCTCGGGCAATTTAATTAGTACTAGTTGGTAAATTTTGGACAATAAATAGAATCACACCTAAAATGAGGTGAAAGTTACAGTTAATAAGATAATATACGTAGTATTAAATTAGCTTGGTCGGCGTGAGTGACGGTAAACTCTTGTCTATAGATTCTTTACAATTGTTATGTGAGTAAATGCCTAAAATGGTCCCTCAACTATAGCTAAATTCACAAATTGGTCATTGACTTTTAATTTCAACCAATTGAGTCCTTAACTTTGCAATTTTAACACAATTTGGTCCTTTGTCTATTTGACCGTTTGTTGACTGCGCTTTTTTACGATATATATGTAATTTCATGGTCCATCATCGGTTTTTAAGGTTCCGGTTGCATTTCTAGACCGAACTGTTACATTTGAATCCATTGTTGGCGCTGCACCCCATGCCGGAGAGATTATAGCTTTTGATAGATAGATCGCCGAAGTCCCTGGAGTGGCTCTTCGAGAAAGCCGTAACTCCAAGCGATGTAGGCAAGCTGAACCGGCTCGGGATCCCCAAGCAGAAAGCAGAGAAGCACTTCCCCCCTCCGAAACGACGTTGTCACCTCCAAGAGCGTTCTCTAAGCTGAACCGGCTCGTGATCCCCAAGCAGCAAGCGGAGAAGCACTTCCCCCTCCGAAACAACGATGTCACCTCCAAGAGCGTTCTCTTGAGCTTTGCACGTGAAACTACATATATATCCTCAAAGATCGCGGTCAACAATGAGTCAAATAGATGGAGGACCAAATCGTGTCAAAATTGCAAAGTTAAGGACTTAATTGGTTGAAATTGAAAGTCGATGATCAATTTGTGAATTTAGTTATAGTCGATGGACCATTTTGGGTATTTACTCTTGTTATGTTGTAGAATCGTGTTCATCTTGCAAGAAAGTTGGACACGGTTCCAATACAACGCCCTTTTGGCAATTTTAGAGTAACGGTGTCACTAGTGTCACCGTTTTCATCCACCAATCAATTTTTTTTTTTTAATTGTCAAAACAACTCAGCGAGACGTTGTGAATATAGAGTTTAAAAATTATGAACATAGAGTTCTGTAATTGTAGATATAGAGTTCAATAATTGCGAATATGGAGTTAAAAAATTATGAATATAAAGTTCTATAATTATGAACACAGACTTCTAGAGTTAAAAATTTATGAACATAAAGTTCTATAACTATGAACATAGAGTTATGTAATTGTGAATATAAAGCATATTAGAATATCAGATGAATTTTCATGTACTACTAATTTTGGCAAATTATGCTGTGCATCCGTGTGCACCATGCATGGTGCATACAGATGCAAAAATGACGTCGTTTTGACTAAAAACGCGCGTCCCACTTTAAAAAATAATAATTCAATTTCGATTCCTAGCAACAACATTATGTTGTGCATAATTTGAACTATATATCCAGAATCAATGAACTAAAAATCCAGAATCTATGAACTAAAAATTCAGAATGAATGAACTAAAAATTCATAATGAATGAACTAAATATCCATAATGAATGAACTAAATATCCAGCATGAATGAAAAAAATCAATTTCGATTTTCATCTAAGGGTGTGTTTGGAAACCTGGAAAATGAGTTTTGGAAATCATTTTCCAAGTTTCTAGTGTTTGGATGTGCCTGGAAAATCAAGTCAACGGAAATCATTTTTCGTTGACTTTGGAAAATAGGCTTGTTTTGGAGGAAAATGACTTCCCCTTTTTTTTGGGGAGAAGTCATTTTTCAACTTTTACACCAACATCACACCACCACCAACATCATCAACACCATACCACCATCACCACCACTATTGCCGCCGCCACCACCACTATACCCCCGCCACCATCACACCACCACCACAACCACCACCAACACCGCAACCACTACCACCACCACCACCATACCACCGCCACCATTGCCGCCGCCACCACCACCACATACCACCGCCACCACACCACCACCTTCTCACCACCACCGCCGCCACCACCACCACTATACACCGCAACCACCGTCGTCACCACCACCACCACCACCACCGCAACCACGCGACCACTGCCACCACCGTCATACTACCACCACCATCACACCAACACCACTACCGCCGTCGCCGCCACCACCAGCATACTACCGCAACCACCGTCGCCGCTGCCACCACCATACCACCGCAACCACCGCCACCACCATCGCACCGCCGCCGCCACCACCACCACGACCATACCACCGCAACCACCACCATCACCACCACCACCATACCACTGCCACCACCGTCATACCACCACCAATTATTATTATTATTATTATTATTATTATTATTATTATTATTATATAACGAATAAAACCACTACCACTACACCACCACCACCACCATAATATTTTTGAGGGATAAGGGTCAAATAAGCCCTCAAACTATACTGATTAGTGCAATTAGGCCCTTCAACTTCAAAAAGCTTCAATTAGAACCTCAAACTTACAAAAAAAGTGCAAATAGCATTATTTGCAGGTTGTCTTCAAATTAAAGGTCAACTACTTGATGATTGGATTTTTCAAGCTGATGTGGCTTCCACATATTTTTTAAAAATAATATATTATATTAAATTTAATTTTTAATTAATAATAATTATAAATTAAAAATTTTTAAAAAAATCTTCTAAATTTTATTCGTGATTAAACAAATATAACCAAACAAAATTAAAACATTAATCGAAGTAATAGGTATGAATGAAGGGATTAATGATTGGCCCCAGGACTAGGTCCAGAATGCATGATTTCCCCAACACTTTGATCAGGCGTTAATCTGTGTCCTTTTCTACTCGGACTCGGCCCTGCTTTCTTGACGGCGACGAAAGTAATACCAACTGCATTCTGGAATCTCTGATGCTTAGCAGCAGTAAGTGGGCAAGCTTTAATTTATCTGGGTAAAAAAAAAAAACAGCTGAAAAAGAGAATAGAGATGAAGAAGGTAGCGACGGACTGTCTTCTTCCAGTCTTGAAGAAGGTTGCGGCGTCCTTCCCGGTGCGTCGGTGGTGGGCTATGGTGGATCGGCAAGGACGACGAACGACGAATAAAATTTAGAAGATTTTTTTTTTTTTTTTTTTTTAATGATTATTATTATTATTAATTTAAAAATTAAATTTAATATAAAATATTATTTTTTAAAATATGTGGAAGCCACATCAGCGTGCCAAATCAATTTGAAAAATCTAATCATCAAGTAATTGACCTTTAACTTGAAGGCAACTTACAAATAGGTCTAATTGCACTCTTTTTGTAAGTGTGAGGTTCTAATTGGAGCTTTTTGAAGTTGAAGGGTCTAATTGCACAAATCAGTATAGTTTGAGGGCTTATTTGACCCTTATCCATATTTTTGATATATTATTAGTTTTTTTTTTTTTTTGAAAAACTTAGCTATTTTTTATTATATTTAAAATTAATATTATATTATTATATATTATTATACATGTTGTAATATTCTAAATAAAATAATTAAAATGTTTAATTATACAATTCTACTCATTTTTCAGAAAATGAACCAAACACAGAAAAACAGTTTTCCATAATGCAACCAAACACTGGAAAGGAAAATGTTTTCCGGAAAATGACTCATTTTCCAGAAAACATTTTCCAGAAGTCATTTTCCTGCTTTCCAAACGGACCCTAATATCCAGAATCAATGAACTAAAAATTCAGAATTTATGAACTAAAAATCCAGAATGAATGAACAACATAATGCTGTTGAGGGGAATCGAAATTGATTTTTTTTTTAAAAAAAAATGAGACGCGCATTTGTAGTCAAAACGACATCGTTTTTGCATCTGTGTGCACCACGCATGGTACACACGGTGCACAGCATAACGCTCCACTAATTTTGTATTTATTTATTATTTATTTTTAGGATGGACTGGCCCGTTTTGACCACACTCTCAAAAGAAAAAATGAAATACAGATAGATACCGGCCCAGGAAGGCTCATTATGGATATATAAGATTAAAAAAGGCGGGAAAATCACTAGGGCACCATAGCGCATTTCCAGCGAGTGGTGAGTTCGTACAGATTCTTCTGAAATGGCGAAGGAGGGAGATGACTTCGAAGAAGAAGAAGAGTTTGGATTCTCAAGGAACTACTTTATTTCAAAGGAATTGGGCTCTTCTCGTAAAAAATCTGCTCGTAAACTCTCCGACATCAATCTCGTTGATGAAGAGGTTCATCTCTATCTCTCTCTATACATATTGTGTGTGTGTGTGTGAAGTATCTACGTGTGCATAACTGCATATGCATAACACAACTGCATTCATTTTCGGATTTTATTTTTTTATTTTTTCAATGCAGGAATTGAGGGAAGCTGCTGCCAACATTGAGCCTAAACATGAGAAAGAAATTGAGGATTTGATGAAGTCTTATAGGAGTTCATATTCAGAATGGAAATTTGTCTTAAGGTATGCAATTTTTTTATGTGTATCGGTGTATGGTTTACTGATCAGCTTTTGAAATTTTAACTTCAACTTAATTTTGGTTTAGTTTCTTATTTGATGCTAATAATGTGATAGGTGTGGTTTTGGTCTCCTGATGCATGGTTTTGGATCAAAGAAAGCCTTGATTGAAGATTTTGCTTCGAGCACTTTGACAGAGTACTCTGTTGTCGTGATTAATGGCTATCTTCCCTCTATCAATCTTAAACAAGTAATTCCTCTTCTTCTCCCTTTGAATTACTATTATTGTGGAGTATTTTTTAGAATAGTGATGTGGTTTGCATATAATGTCAATATGAAAAGTTGAGTTAAGCAATATCAAACACTGAACAATTTTTAAAACTCATCCAAACTTATCCAAAATTTCTTCACACTGGATGTTCTGCATACATGTCTCCTCAGTCCTTCCAATGATATTTCTTATGATTTAAGGAATTTTAGGTAGCACAGTTATGTAACTTATTCAGCATCCTTAATAATGGATTGATCTATAGGTTGTGATAACCTTAGCTGAGCTTTTATGGGATCAACTGAAAACATTACAAAAGACGACTTCAGGTAGTCAGTCTAAAAATCAACAACCTTTCAACACCCGATCAGTGGACAATCTTCTTGGATTTCTACATGAGCCACATGTTGATGTAAATGATGAGGAGTGCTTTGTTTGCATTGTTGTTCACAATATTGATGGACCTGGGCTGCGCGAGCCAGATAATCAACAGTGTTTTGCAAGAATTGCATCTTGTTCACATGTTCGTATGGTTGCTTCAATTGATAATATCAATGCTCCTCTTTGTAAGTATTATCTGATTTCTTTTTATTGTCATAAAAGGGTTTTTGACCAGGGATTTTTCTGCATTGTTATGAGTTTCATTTGTTTGTTTCCTTAATGTCAAAGGGTCTAGTACAAGCATCCCCTTAATGTGAGTATTTGGAATGAAACCATTTTTTTCAAAACAATTGATACAAAAAATAACAATAAAAATCTGTAGTTGCAACTTTTATCCTCTGGCAGAAAGGAAAGGGTTTCACTTATGGATAAATTTCTTACTGATTATGGTAAAAATCTTTCATGAGTTGGTGCATGTCCTTCAACAATTGGACCATTTTCACTTGTGGAAAGCTGATCTTTGTTTTAAATTCTTGCCATCTTTTGAGAATTGGTAGGAATGATGAAGGGTGAGAAAAGGATGTTTAACAAATTTCTTATTTAGTGCTTGTAACTTGTAAGTGGGGGAAGGGAGATTCAAATTCTTTTTGTCACGGAAGTGGGTTCTTAGCCATGTTTCATTGTTTCCTAACCTCTTGCTGTTATTTTCATATATTCAAGTATGGGACAAGAAGATGGTTCATACACAGTTCAACTGGTACTGGTTACATGTTCCCACCTTTGCACCGTACAAGGTTGAAGGAATGTTTTTCCCTCTAATTCTTGCACATGGCGGTAGCGCTCAGAGTGTGAAGACAGCTTCACTAGTCCTCCAGAGTTTGACACCTAATGCTCAAAATGTATTTAAAGTTCTCGCAGAGCATCAGTTGGCCCATCCTGATGATGAAGGCAAGTAGCTATATCACTTTAAAACCATACCTTTCCACAAGAAATCAAATCTAAAATTTTGCTTGTTTTTTTCTTTTCAGGAATGCCAACCAATAACTTGTACACAATCTGCCGAGAGCGCTTTCTTGTTAGTAGCCAACTTACCTTGAATTCACATTTGACAGAATTCAAGGACCATGAGTTGGTTAAGAGCAAGAGGAGATCTGATGGCCAAGATTGCTTGTACATTCCTCTCGCGAACGACGCAATTGAAAAACTAATAGCAGAGATCAGCCAATAGGTACGTTTACCATGGGCAGAAATACTCTGTGGTGAACTGGGTATACATCAGCAATTAACTTACCCTTTGTAAATCGATGCATCACACAGCCGTAAGCAGTGTTGCAAAAATCATGCCTAGGCGCTAGGCGGTCGGCCTCCTAGGCGCCTGTCTAGGCGCTCTAGGCGGTCCCCAAGCGCCTGGAGGGCGTCTAGCGATTTTTTCAACATTTGCCGTAAGAAGAGGAAAATTCACATTCCCCTTTGTATCAATTATTATATCATCTTATAAGATTATAATATTTTGAATGGGTCTGCATTTCTGTCTATGATGATGTGTGAGGCGTTGAATATTGAAGTTGCGTGCACCTTCATTCCCGTCATTATACCCGTGTGTAATCAGGTAACCAACAACGGATATTGTCCGGCATGGCATCTGTGCTGATCAATTCACCTAATCTACGCATCATCATCGAAGCCGGAACTGGTAACTCTTCTGACAATGCCCATTCCCCTCAACTGTTCTTTTGCTCATTAGTAGTATATCTGTATATCAACTGTTTACCAACAACGGATCTTAGCAGATTTTTGATATACCGATATCCGTCAAATCAAGATCATTAATTATTAATTAATGTTTTATGTCATTTGTAATTTTGTTAAACCATAAATGTTTGTTAACACATTCACACTTTTATTTTACCTGTTAGTGGGGCGTTTTTATTTATTTTTTTACTAATTTTTCACGCGCATTGTGTGAATGAAATAATGTCTAAATGTTTATTTTTAAATAAGTATTTCAAAGTATATTCATGGAAGATTATATATGAGATGTTTATACATAGGTAATTGAATGTTTAATTTGTTTATTTAAATCAATAATTCAAAATATATGAATGTAAGATAATATAAGAAAAATTGATTATAATTGTCATTAAAATAAATGTTTGGTCGCAATATTACCATTTGTCTATGAAAAAAGTTTTACCTCATTAAGCATGTGTGAATTGGAGGATCATCAATTCATCATTGATGAATCTACATTAATTGTCTTGTCCTAATCATATTAAATTTGTCTCACATAGAACATCATAGATATTCGACTCTCATTTAAAGGTATTATTGCGGGTTAGTTCATGAGATGATTGAGATCTACGAGTTAATTTTCTTTGTTTTTCATAAAAAAAAATGTTAGCTCGTGTGTCAAGCTCATGAGTCACGAGGGCCTTTTCTTCAGGCAAAAAAATGTTAGCTCTGTGGAGTTCTTGTCTAGTCTTTTCGTTCGGGGTGTCCCCTCCTATGTACTAAAAATGAAAATAAAATTGCAAAATATATAAATAATATAAAAATAGGGCGTGCTATTTTTTTCGACCAGAATAAGTAAATGATCCACCGATCCACCATGTACAATCAAGTCCTTTTAAAGATAAAATAGAATATTCCAATAATTTCACGCATATCACAGCATGTACGACTTTTTAATTAAATAGAAAAAATGACTGAGGGTCAGTCACGTTTTTCCCTAAATTAGAGATATGGTAAAAAGGTTTTATTTTTATTTAAGAAAAAATTAATATTTTGATCCCTTAATTGTTAATGTAATTTTTAATTTTTAATTTCAATTAATTTAATTTTTGTGTTGTTTAAAAATTTGTCAATTAAATCTTTTAAAGAATTAAATTGACGAGATTTTAAAAATGTGAAAATTATAATTTTAATTTTTGAAAGAGATTAGTTAACAAATTTTTAAATAATTTGATAATCAAATTGCTTGGAATTGAAAATTAAAAATTATCCCATTAACAAATTGAAAAATAATTGAAGGATTAAAATGATAATTAACTCTTTATTTTATTTTTTATGACGGCGGTAATGCTGGATGTGGCACGCCGTTCGTAGCCGAGCTCAGATTTTCCAAAGCCTCATGTTTACATTTCATTTCACAAAATTACAAAGAACCCAAACACGGTCGTAACGCTTCGATCATCATCACAGCTCTGCATAGATATCTGCGACTATTATTGTTATTATTTTAGTATATATATATATGTAATAAAAACCTGCAAATGGTTCCACCAATCTTTGTCTCTCTCAAATAAACCATAAAAGGGAATACCAGACACAAAAGCAAATCGCTTTGACATTACTCTACGCCTCTTGCAGTGTCTAAATTTCGTTCCAAGATTGAGTCTTTTTGGAGAGGCTTGTGTTTGTTTATCGATCTTGGATTTGGGATTTGGGTTTGGTGAGGAGAGTTTGGGAGTGGACGAGATAGAGGGATGTGGGGTTTTGGTGGGAGGCACTATTGGGGGAGGAAGGAGAGAGGTAAGGCGGAGGGCATAGTGGTGGTGTTTGCGTGGATGTCCAGTCAAGACAGGCACTTGAAGAACTATGTTGATCTCTACTCATCTCTGGGCTGGGATTCCCTCGTTTGCCACTCCCAGTTTCTCAATTCGTATGTTCTTCTCTGCTTATTCTTTAATTTTTACTACTTTAATTTTTCCGTTTTTCGTTTTGATGTTTCCAAAATATGTGCTGTTTAGCTCTATTCGTTTATGACACAATTCAAACTTTCTCCCTTTTTGCTTTTCAACTCTCAGTAATTTAGTTATGGGCTAATGTACTTGTCCCAGATTTTATGGTTAGATGACAGCTTTTGAGCTGCTTTTGGTGTTCTGGGGTCTGGGCATCATAGAACAGCTAGAATTGAGGGGGAGAGAATGGTTTTTGGATTGATTGACAGTTTCCTTTTTGTGAATTTGTGTGATTTTTTTCTTTATAATAAGAAGAATTTATTTAGATGTCTTGGCTTAAGGTGATCAAGCACTTTATCCAGTGGGTATTGTTTATTGATGTGTGAAGTGATTCCTAACCAGAAATCTAACAAAAGGATCTATTAGGATTTTCATTCCTGTATTTTCCGATTTTATTAGGCTATGGACTTGGCAGTTTGGCATAATTTCTGTAAGCAAACACTGCTTCCTGTCAAGCTAAATGTGTGCCCTCTTTGTCTAAACTTCATTATGTGCCATAAGTATTTTAGCGTGAAGTAATAGGTTCTACATCCTATATACTATGAACTTGTTTTCGGGTTTCTATTACTTGCTCAGATATTCTGGTGATCACTTTTGCAGGTTTTTCCCTGAGAAAGCTGCAGCGCTGGCATTAGAAATTGTGAATGAGCTTGTTGAGGTCAGTCTTGTGATATGCTACTATTGTCTCTGATTTCTGAAATTATTGTGAACGTTTGCACCCTATGACCTATGTGCGAGTCCCACATTGAGAAAATAAGAGAGAATATATGGGTTTATAAGGCCGTGGGTTAGACTAGCTAATTGATTGGATTAAGTCTTTTAGTGATTATAGCATATGTTAGTATTCATTTGAGTTATTCTAATTGCTTATGCTTTTGTTTATCACATCTACATGAAGGAGCTAAAAGTTAGACCATGCCCAGTTGTCTTTGCATCTTTCTCTGGAGGCCCAAAAGCTTGCATGTATAAGGTTCTTCAGGTAAATGACATTCTCATATTTGAAGTTGGTTTTCAACTGATATTGCTCATCCAACTTCACCGTTCTTGAATGTTTGTCTTTTCTTTTATTTTGTGGCATAGCTGATCATTTAATGCACTTCGATTTTGTTGCAGATAATTGATGGCAAATGTGAAGAACAATTCAATTTGGTATAATTTCTGTTGCTCGGTTATTGTGATTGTTTATTCGAAATTAGAATAGGTGAATGACAACCTCAATGTGAGGCTTTTTGTTCTGATAGATTATTCTATATGCAGGGTGAATACCGTCTAGTTCGTGACTGTGTTGCAGGACATATTTTTGATTCTTCTCCAGTAGACTTTACTAGTGATCTGGGAACTCGGTTTGTTCTTCACCCAACTATTCTCAAGATGTCGCGCCCTCCACCCTTGGTTTCATGGGTTGCAAATGGCATTGCTTCCAGTCTGGATGCACTCTTCCTTAGCAGATTTGAAGCACAACGTGCTGATTACTGGCAGACTCTATATGCTTCCACTGTAATAACCAGCATCATTCGGTTTGTTGGTTCTACTACGAATGACTGTTTTTCTTTGCGTCTCTTCTCACCTTCTGCTTGTGATATTCTTCATTTTGCAGAGTATGGGGGCACCATATCTCATTTTATGTTCAGAAGATGATGATCTTGCTCCCTATGAAGCTATTCGTAATTTTGCTAAGCGGCTGAAAGACCTTGGGGGTGATGTTAATCTCGTAACATGGAGTAGTTCATCCCACGTTGGTACGTTCTTTTACCATTAGTTTTTTTTAGTACTACTGAACTCTGTTACAATGTAGTATCTGTTCATAACTACTTTCTCAACCTTCTGAAGCACAAAGAGTCAATATCGCCTCCATTGAGGCTCGAACCCACAACCTTGAGAACAACTTGGTGCCACTCGACCACAAGGTCATTGGCATGGCACTATTGTGCATAGTTTAATAGTTTAATTCTTCCATTCGAAATTGACATGTTGGTCTTTCTATATTCGATTTTTTTTCGTTAGTGCATGGAGGAAATACATGCCTTGCCTATACTTCATCATTTTGCACTGAGTTTCTTGTTCTGCATCTCATGTAGGTCATTATCGACGTTATCCTATAGAATACAAGGCTGCTGTAGCAGAGACTTTTTTAAAAGCCTCTTCGATCTATTCCCAAAGGACTCGCCAACTCGGTGGTGAAAAGATGGGTTTGGAAGAGACCCACGGTGGTGAAACCTCTGAGCAATTATCCAGCCTAAGAAACGCTGCAAGTACCTCGAACCAAAGCTTCCATAAAGCTGCACTCGATTTGAACGATCACTTCTTCATCCCCGGCTCTGTAGAGTATCACGAGGGCAGAAACCTCGGGTCAGTTCCAGATGAAGGCAAAGAACATTTCATTCCTGCGATATCCAGCCTCCCAAGAATCAATGCCCATGGAGTTCTTGGCCAGATTCTCTTCGATGTTTGTGTACCCAAGAATGTTGAGGGGTGGGATATAAGATCGTCGCCCTCATTCAGCAGGGGCTCGTTGGCACCTGGACGAAGGCAGTCACCTTTGAACCCCATGAAGTGTATACGTCGCTCCAGGTTATAACGATTGCAGCTGGCTTTCTGGGATATCACGATTTGAGAGGAAATGCAGGAAGCGCACAAATGATGAGCGATATGATTAAATGCATAGTTTCAATCTGCAGATTGACGCTGGTGAGTGCAAACTTTCAGTAATTTTTGCGGTTTGATCTTGGCGATGAGAATAGTATTCGTAATCCAAGAGTGATGGCTGTGCATCAATCTGCAGAAAACCACCACTTATACAGTCTTTTTTTATAGAGGGACTATTGCATTATGTATGAAGTACCAAAATCTTGCTGAAACTGATTGTGATGCAATGTAATAGTATGTTTCTCACTTTATGTAAATTTTATAGTATATAATCATATTAATTCGAGTTTTGTTTTGTTGTCTGTTCTTTTTTTCTTCTTCTAATTGTAAACTGGGGAAGTTTGTAGTTCATGATATCCATAATAATACAACAATTAAAGATGGTGCTTATCGATTTGACATTAACAATTCAGGGGATGGGGGTGGGTAAGATGAGACTAGTAGAGCAGCTGTGAAGTATAGAGGTATGACTATTTGGCAGCTATCCCACATCGGTTTGGTAGAGGGAGTGGATGGGTGTGTGAGCTTATAAAAGGAGTGGGCTGTTGACATGCAAAAGCATACCTTTCTCGGCCTTTTGGCTAAGATCAAGTGTAGTATCTGTTCTTATCAGTTTAATATCTGATACGTGGGCTATTAGCTCACATGATATTAACTCACTTTTTTTAGGGGGAAGGCTCATTAAGGCAGCTTGCTGTCTGGGCTTTCGCGCGTCGCCTTGGCGTTGCACTATTGCCTTGGCCTGGCGCACCCCTCCAAGCCCAGTTTAAGGAATTTTGATCAATATTTTGAGGAAGGAGATAATGTCTTATAGGTAAAAAGTTTTCTTGAATTAAATTAATATATTTGTTTCGAGATTTGACCCCTCAAAACTCAAAAGCCTGGTGCACTATTTGAAAATGTTGTGCTGTGAACAACATTTAATTAATGAATGAAGTAAATTTTAATTTTGGTCATATTTGTGTTAATTGTAAAGTGTTAATTTAGTACTTTGATTAATTTTTATAAATTTTGGTTACGATTAAATTACCGATTATATTAATTGTAACATTTAATTTTTAAAAGTGTTAATTTAGTATTTTGATTAATTTTTATCAATTTTGATTATGATTAAATTACCGATTATTAAATGTGACTGAAAAATTTTAAGTCAACAATTGAATTCGAGGGCAAAGTCGTCTACTATCTTGGGAGTCGGAGGAGTAGAGTTAAAAAATACTGGGAGCCGGAGGAGTTGAGTTAAAAAAATACTGCAAATTACTAAACATATCTAAACCAACTTCAGGACCCGGAGGAGTTGAGTTAAAAAAATACTGCAAATTACTAAACATATCTAAACCAACTTCATGACCCATGGAGGTACTTAAATCGGTTAAATTTATCTTGTGCGTTTTTAGCGGTTTTCTTGAGAATTCCGATTATGGACTTCTTGTTCTTCTTGTATATCACACAGAATCCGCCTTTGATAATTTGTTGGAGTTTGAAAACTTGATCCGGGATGATGACGCAATTTCAGTGATCGCGAAGTCGTGAATCATCGTCAGAACGATTGCGGCGCTGGGATTTTTGCGTTGAGTTACGACATCGTTCATAAGCTTTTCAATCACTTTTTTAATTTGGAGTGAATAAGAAATGACGAATTTACCTCTTCCAATTCAGTTTAATTGTTGACTTAAAATTTTTCGGTCACATTTGGCGAATAATTTGGTCGACATGACTAAAATTGATAAAAGTTACATAGTCAAAGTACTAAATTAGCACAATCAATGTACTAAATTAACACTTTTAAAAGTCACTTTTAAAAGTCCAATTAATACAAGTTCAATAGTTAGACCAAAATTTAAATTTACTCATGAAATAAATAAATAAGGGATGGAATTTTAAAACTGTCTGCTGTGTCGATATAGTCCTCGCTTGAGTGCTTGACTGCGTGTTAACGAGGGAGCGAAGAATGGGGAAGAAATTATTGGTGACAGGCGCTTCCGGTTACTTAGGCGGGCGTCTCTGTCACGCTCTTCTCAATAACGGCCACCACGTCAGGGCGTTCGTCCGCCGAACTAGCGACCTCTCGTCCCTACCTCCGCCCACAGACGCCGGAAGTAGTGGTGCCGGAGCTTTGGAATTCGCGTTCGGAGATGTCGCCTACTACGAGTCGCTCCTGGAAGCCTGCTCCGGTTGCCATGTCATCTTCCACGCTGCAGCGCTAGTTGAGCCTTGGCTTCCAGATCCATCTAGATTCATGACCGTATGGTCAATTCCAAAGTGATTGTGCTGTTAATATGAGTTTCGATTTTATTATTTGATTTTTGTCGTTACTGTGTGTTATACTGCAACTGTAGGTTAATGTTGGAGGATTGAAAAATGTCTTACAAGCATGTAAAGAATCAGGGACAGTAGAGAAAATCATATATACATCGTCGTTTTTCGCGTTAGGATCAACTGATGGAAATATTGCAGATGAATCTCAAGTATGGTTTAATCATAAATATGGTATCTAATCAACGAGTTTGACTTACTTCTTTTTTGCTGATCGTTATAACTTGTGAGAATTGTTTATATAGACTCATCCTGAAAAATTCTTCTGTACGGAGTATGAGAAATCAAAGGTCATGGCTGATAGGATGGCATTAGAAGCTGCAGCTGAGGGAGTGCCGATAATCCCTGTTTATCCAGGAGTAGTTTACGGTCCAGGAAAGCTCACGGCTGGAAATGTGTTTGCTCGTTTGGTAAAGTATTTTGTTCTTTCCTTTTTAATGCCTGTATGCAATAAATTGAAGTATACTTTGAAGGGGCAACCCCAGCCACTCTTGATTTGATAACCAGAAAGATATAAGTTCAACTCCCAACTGGAGCCTCCTATTGGCCTTTTTGGTTTGAGATGATCAGCTATGAACAACCTAGGCTGGTCCTTTGTGGGCTAGGGTCACAAGACTGGTTTATTCAGTGCACACACTCTCGGGAAATCGCTGCGGGAATCGGGATTCCCTTGTCACCCAAGTATGCTTTGAATGAGTAGGTACATAATTGCAAATTGGATTAATTGTGAAATTAGGTGCTGATGAACTTATATGCGTTTCTGGATTTCCTAGTGCTTATCGGTTTCTTTCAAGCTAATGAAATGAACAATGTGGTAGTTGTCGCCAAGTATATTGTAGCATAGCTTGAGATTTTATATGTAAGATTTCGGTTTTTTGTACCAATATATAAAAATTGGAATGCTTGTCAATGACTCCATCTAGCCTATGTTTATTGCTCCAATTTGTTTCAGTAATGACATTAGCATAGCTTATAGTCATCATGATCTTAAACATTCAAGGAAGGCATTGACTTTGTTCTGTATATCCTTTATGTTAGATTGTACAATATCTTCTCCATAGCTAAACTTTTATATATATGTTATGCCAGATAATAGAGAGATTTAGTTGGCGCTTACCTGGTTACATAGGCCAAGGAAAAGAAAAGTTTTCGTTCAGTCATGTTGATGATGTTGTGAATGGGCACATTTCAGCCATGGATAAAGGTCGTCTCGGTGAAAGATATCTTCTTACAGGTGAAAATGCATCCTTCAAAGATGTTTTTGACTTGGCTGCTGAAATCACTCTTACAAAGAAGCCTCGTTTTGGTATCCCATTAGCGACTATTGAAGTTTATGCTTGGATATCAGTTTTTTTCTTCAGAATAACTGGGAAGCTTCCTCTAATCAGCCCACCAGTAAGAAAGCTACGCAATCTCAAATTTTATTTTATTTTATTTTAATCTGCAGCTTTGAATGTTTGTTGTACATCATGCAATATCACATGTTACCCACAAACACATTCATCTAATTCATATATTCCTTATTTGTTCATTGAGTGGTGACATTCTCTAAAGGACTCCACCTTCAAGCTCAACATGAGAGCTGTAGATTACCATGCTAACAACCAGATTTACCCTTTTTCCTCTTCTCTTAATAAAGCTAATTTAGGATTTGACATTATAATCTTGGTTGCTGCCTCTTCATGTCATGGGATTGTGTTGTCTGAGTGAATGAGTTATTTTTATAGAGTAGTGTCATGATAAATACTCGAGATTTTATTAACGACAATTGACAATGTTTGTTCTAATTATGCCCTCAAATCTTATGATCTTTCTATGCACTGTTTGGAACAGACAGTCCAGGTTCTGAGACATCAGTGGGCTTATTCCTGTGAGAAGGCCAAGGCAGAGTTGGATTACAACCCCAGAAGCTTAAAAGAAGGTTTGACTGAGGTACTCCTTTGGTTGAAGAACTCCGGATTGATTCAGTACCCAGGGGCGGAGCCAGAGGCAGAGCCAGGGGCGGACCCAGGGGCAGAGCCAGATGATGAGGGGGACCAAGTACCATTATTAAAGAGTGAATAATTAAATATATTAATATTCATTTAACATATTTCAAAATACATTATTACATTACAAATCTACTAAAACCCAGTAGCTGATTAATATTTTCTTTTTAATACTGTGCCTACTCATGATATATACATAATCACCCTATGCTTTAGCCAGTCTTAATTAATTCTTTGTTTATGTAATCACCATCTTTTTTGACTTGGAAGACTGAAGTCCCCATTAATGCTGCTATTCAAAGAATGTTGTTTAAAGAGAAATGAAAATATACAATACCCGTAATTCATCAAAGATTTAATTTTGTTTATTATGTACCATTCGTTTTCTTTGGAGACAAGTACAGAAGATGTAAAATTTAATTTTCTTGAATCATAATTCACTTATGGCTAACAGTAGTAATTGGCGCTTTCTCCTTGGTTGAAAACTCTGTAATAATAATAAATTACGTGAGATTGTTGACTGTCTAGTTCAATCCAAATGCAGGGTGAATTGATCCTGGCTCAAACTTGTATATAAAATTAAGAGTAGATTTTAATTTTGGCCCTGTAATTATAAGGGTCCTGTTAATTGTAGTTTAAAAAGTGTTAATTTAGTATCAAGATATTAAATTTACACATTTAAAAGTTAATTGATATTAAATTTACACTTTAAAAAGTCGTGAACTGCAATCACATGATCAGAATTGAAATTATAAAAATTAGCCTGGACAGGCTGTTAGTTGCAACATTTCCCTGTGGGCTAAGGATGTTTCATATTGCACGACAGGAAAATTGCAACAATAACAACATACTCCCACCTTGTTCACCTATGTTCCCCTGGTCATTTAAAAAGAAAGTAACAATTTACTTTTTCTCACATTTTATTTATTTAGGATGACAAAGAAATCAGTAGTCAAAAAGGTGTTGAGGTGCTGACGAGAATTGAACTTATGATTTTTTGGTATGAGAATTATGTATCATCTACTTGTTCACAGATTTAATTGTAAGAGACATCTTTAAGCCTGTATTATATTCAGATTAATCATCTCGCATTGTGCCGACCTAATTAATAAGAGACAAAGTGCTGTCTAAATTGATTTTTCCATACGAATGAGGGTTCAAACTCCCGACCTTTAAGGAACGAGAGTGCACGACCACTCATGCCAACCAAGCTGGTTACATGTTAAATGTTTTGATTGATTAAAAAAATGAATTATATATATAGCAAAAGTTTTCCCATTTAAGAATACCATTTATAGGTGGACCAATAAAGGAGGAGGGAGGGGCGCACGATAAGTAAAGAGGACAGCTCACATATTCCAGCCTTTCTCTAACCCCGAAAATAACAATAATAACTAAAACTGGTATTAATCGAACTCAAGAAAAGGAGTTAAGAAAAATGCGGAGCAGGAAGAAGCCCAATAGCCATAGGCAATAGCGCTCGCTCCTCCTGCGGGCCAAACAAAACAAACACAACAGAATTCTACGACGTCGAAACGCCGGGATCCGCGTTTTCTCGATCACCGCAATTCTTACCCATCTGCTCTGCTGCTCAACTCATCTACCCATTCCCCATTTTCCACGACAATTTGACGTACGATTTACTCTTTTTTTTTTTAATTTATTCATTTATGCATCTGTTTCTTCAATCCTGTTTTCTCATGAGTGAATTGCATTTCTCATGACACAGAAATCTCAACACTCTTCTTTCCAATAGATAATCCCAGATATAGTTTTCACCAAAAAAAAAGAAAAAGATCTTGATGAATATGTTTAAAATGCTCCTTGTTTAATGTTGGTATTGTGTTTTTGTTTTTAATAATTTCATCGTGATTTCTTCAATGTTGGTATGGACATGGGCGTTTACTTCTTCTGTGTGTGTTTTGCAGGGTTGCATTGGACTTGTATGCTTTGAATCTAGTAAAAGTAAATAAATGTAAGGTTAATTTTGGGTTAGGCTACCTTGAATTTCTGGAGGAGGTTTAGATTTTTATTCGGTTCAAGAGGGACCGAACATGTCAAAAGGCGAGACGATCCCGTTGTCAGTATTGTTGAGGCGTGAATTGGCCTCTGAGAAGATCGAAAAGCCTGAGATTTTTTATGGTGAAGCTAGACAGAGCAAGAAAGGAGAGGATTTTCTCTTTGTCAAGACCGGATGCGAAAGAGTAGTGGGAGATGGGGTCACATACTTTTCTGTTTTTGCGGTATATTCATAATGCTTGCTGTTACTATTATTTTTCTATGCCTGAGCTATTGTTATTGATTTGTGTGCTAATATGTTCAACAATTACTGCAGTTATTTGATGGGCACAATGGGTCAATGGCTGCTATATATACTAAGGAACATCTATTGAAAAATATTTTGAGTGCCATTCCACCAGAACTCAACAGGGATGAATGGCTTTCAGCATTGCCAAGGGCTCTAGTTGCTGGATTTGTTAAAACGGATAAAGATTTCCAAGGAGAAGGTATTAGATCCGTGCCTTATAACAGACGAGTATAGTTGCATATGCATTAGTGTCAGTGACGGAACTATATTATGATTGAATCTAAGCTCCAGCTACAGTTGGGAAAATGACTAGCTTGCTATAGCTAAAGTCTAAAGACTTTGTGTTTAATCAGCTGAAAAGTTTTTCACTGAATCAGTGAGTTAAGTTAAGGAAAACTAGATGAGTAAAGACATGTTATGAAGTGGAATGTTTAAAAAATATACTTATAAGATCCAATGCCCAAAGAGATTAAAAAACTCATTGATTGTTACTATTAAGCAGCAACTCCTTGTCTAATAGACCCCATTCAACTGATTATAACTACACTCTTTCTGGTATAATGAGTATGTTGATTTGTATATACTATTCTGCGAATTTTCAGCACGAACTTCAGGAACAACTGTCACAATTGCTATAATTGAAGGATGGGTAGTAACAGTTGCATCAGTTGGTGATTCTCGCTGCATTTTTGAATCTGCGGAAGGGGGAATATATTATCTATCAGCAGATCATAGACTTGAATGCAATGAAGAGGAGTAAGATATTAGTCTTTATATCTGATACAACATACGTCTTTAGCTCTTAGTATAAGGGTTGATTCCCCTTTCTTAATTAAATAGGAGGGAACGCATTACATCCAGTGGTGGAGAGGTTGGCCGGCTTAATACTGGTGGTGGCACACAGGTATCTTTCTCATCTATATGGACTATAATCATATATCCTTCACTGAACTCCAACTTTGTAGTTCCTTTTCTTCCACTACAGATATCAGTTCATCTCTTACAACGTTGTTCACTTGTTATATACTTTAGTTTAAATCACATCACTTACCCATATAATTGGTGTACAAATATTAAGGATATATGAGGCTCACATTAGTCATCTATGTATTTGTTATAATTTAGCTCATGTTGAATAGTGGTTGTAATGTTAGATTAGTGGTTGTAACTTCCTTCTATCTTTCCTCCTGTGTACACTATTTATAGTTGCCTGTGTTTGCAGTGTTAATTCATTCAGTTCTATAAACTTTATAACAAATGGGTATTAGATAGTCTAATGTTGTCACTAACAGTATGAATAGTTACACATTTTTTTTCTGTGGACTTGGAAATTAAAAAGTGCATTTGAAGTATACTATTTCTCTGTGCTTTTATTCTATTTTAACCCATTGTCATTTCTCTTTCTATATCTTGGTCACCTTTGGGTTTGGGGAAAGGGGTCATTATTATGCTGTGTCTTATTACTGTTTGATTTTATTTAAGATTGGTCCTTTGAGGTGCTGGCCTGGTGGATTATGCCTCTCAAGATCCATTGGAGACATGGATGTTGGGGAATTCATAGTTCCTGTCCCTTACGTAAAGCAAGTAAAGGTATGTTTATTCCTTAATTGCTTAATGCTTACTGATGTGGATTCAAATTGTTCCCTACTTTCCTTCACTCCTGAAACCCCTCTTTGCTGTAATTTGGTCAGCCCATGATGAAAGTATAAATTAACAATTCCCCATGAAAGGTCTAGCCTTCCATTCCAATAACTACTTTTGAGGGGAGTCGTTGCTAAGTTCAGAAATTCCAAAGATGAATTTATAATTCAGAAAAAAAATAAAAATCTAAGGATTTAATAAAATTAAAAACCATTAAGTTTAGGATTTGGTGAAGATGGATAGAATGCTTGAATCATACTAGAGATGAGCAGAAAACGTGATATAGAATTTTATCACAATCTTTCCATATAATTATTCAACTTTCCCATTTCAGCTTTACTAATCTAAATTCTACTTATTTTAATTATATTTCTACAGCTTTCTTCAGCAGGTGGCAGGCTTATTATTGCAAGTGATGGTGTTTGGGATTCTGTATCTGCAGAAGCAGCATTTGAGTGTGCTCGTGGTATGCATCCAGATGCTGCAGCTACACAAATTGTAAAAGTGTGTTTATTACTTCATCATTTGAATATATGCACGAATAGTTTCCATACTATATTATTTAACACCATTTCTCTAATTTGCAGGAGGCCGTACAGCCAAAGGGAATCCGAGATGACACAACATGCATTGTGATTGATGTACACCTTCCAGAGAAGCCACCTCCGCCACACCACAAAAAAACAGCTAAAGGAGTGTTAAAGGCTATGTTCCGCAAAAAGAGTTCTGAATCTTCTTCTTACATTGACAAAGATTATTGTGAACCGGATTTCGTGGAGGAACTGTTTGAGGAAGGATCTGCATCACTTGCTGACAGGTGTGCATAAGGCATACCATATTATATAAAGAAGTTGCTTCTGCATGATGCATCTACCTTATACTTGATCATTGACAATGTCTCTCTGTATTTTACAGGTTGGACACGAAATATCCAGTTTGTAATATGTTTAAGTTATTCATGTGTGCTGTTTGTCAAGTAGAGATAAAGCCTGGTGAAGGCATTTCAGTACATGCTGGATCAGTGGATTCAAAAAAAGCACGGCCTTGGGATGGTCCTTTTCTTTGCTCTAGCTGCCAAGAGAAGCGAGAAGCCATGGAAGGAACGAGACCTTCTGGGAGTAAGACCCCTTGAAATTTTTACTAGTCAGATAAACTCCTATTTTATGAAACCTACTGAGTATCCCATTTACTATTTCCAGATGGTAGATACAGCAGTGGAAGTGATGAGTAACCACTGAAGACATTGCCTACTGACCAAATTAATCCCCTTTGTGTTTTTTTGTGAAGAAAGTGACCATTGATGCTTCTTGTGACATACCTGGGATACAAGCATCACCTTTCATCTACACCTAAGAACTGCATAGTACATAGACCTCATTCTAACAGACGTATATGGATATACCTGTTCTGATTTGAATTCTTGCAAGGATGTCGAGATGTAGGAGCATACTGCATACTAGACACGTAAGAGGTAATAAATAGCTCTCAGATACATCCAGTTATATATACCAATGTTTTCCTTCTGTAGAGTTAATGGTGAGTAAAGCATTATTCAGTCTAACATTATCATGTAGGAAAGCCTTGTTAGGATTCATGTAGAGTAAATTTCATTTTTGGTCCCAGCAGTTTAAACTAAGTTTCAAGTTGCTCCTCATTACTTTAATAGTTTCAATATTATCTTGAATGTATTCCATCCAATGTCTTGACAAATAGATAAGGATAAAAGTTTTACGAGTATTATTTATATATTCCTCTAATTTTTCCTCTTCAACTTCCTGCTCTTTCTTTTTCCCCTCCTCTCCTATGCCCATACAAATTTATTGAATGTCGACATTTTATTAAATCTAAATTTTATATGGAATCAAACTTATAAATATCAATTTATTAAACTCGAGGAAGCTGAAAAGAAAGAAAGGAAAGAAAAAGAATATATCTATAATTCAGTATGTTGATTGTAAATAACATTGAAATTAATATTATAAATTTAAGATCAAATTGAAATTCAGCTGAAACTTTTATCCTGATTATCCTGCGTTTAAATTTGTTCTTGTAACATTGATTTGTTGATTTTGTTCTTTTCTAAACAAGATTAAACTTATGAAAGAAGCTCATTGTTTCCCAGAGTTCTGTGATGATGCCATTCCATTTGGTTTGTTTTGTTTATTCCTTAAAACTTGGAAAATACTGATGGACAGTTTCTGTTTTATGTTGCATCTTTTCCACCTTTCTGCTGGTCTTAATCACCTTTAGATGTGCTTTTACCAAAACTCTGGCTTCATCTACCTGCTTTAATAATGGAAGCTTTTGCTAAGTAGTCCTTGAACTTTGCATATTTAGACGACAGCACTACAGCAGTGATAATTAGAAAGCTGAAAGCCCAAATCTAATCCTAAAGGCAAATGGAAGAATCACTTTTAGGTTTCTTTGAAATGTTTATAACTAGTGGCATATGTATGACTACTGGTACTGGGTCCTAGTATATCAACTTTCCCCACTTGACTTGAGCTGAGTGCTTGACTCACCTTTTCCCCCCTACTTTTTATGTATTTGTTTTACATTCCAAATAGTCAATATACAGTGGGATTTCATTTTTGGCTGCATATTGTGTTTTGGTGATTTGGATTAGCAATAATCAGTGTTGCAAAAATCGCGCCTAGGCGCTAGGCGGTCGGCCACCTAGGCGCCCGCCTAGGCGCTCTAGGCGCCGATTAATCGCTCTAGGCGCCCGCCTAGGCGCTCTAGGAGCCCTAGGCGGTCCCCAGGCGCCTAGCGATTTTTGCAACCTTGGCAATAATCATGGCAGATGGACTGGGAACCCTGTTTCATGTTCGAATTCTTTCTTCTTGGTAAGTTGTAGTGCACTTTTGCCTCGGGGGCTCAACTGGTTGACTAATCCAAAGAAGTTAATAGTTCTGTTTTGCTGGTAGCAACAGGGCGCAGGATATGATTTCTAGACTAATCCTAAGTCCCCAGAGCCCTGTTAGGTGCAGGCAATGTTGCAAAAATCGCGCCTAGGCGGTCAGCCTCCTAGGCGCCCGCTTAGGCGTTCTAGGCGGTCAGCCTCCTAGGCGCCCGCCTAGGCGCTCTAGGCGGTCCCCAGGCGCCTAGAGGACGCCTAGTGATTTTTTCAACATCGGGTGCAGGACATGATTCCTACTAAGGTATGAGATTGGTCCTATTGTGAGCTATTATGAGCACTAGCGTGCAAAGTACAAACACTTTGGGGTACCTGTAAATTGTTGAAACACATCACGAAATTTACTTCTCCCACCAAGGCTTCAGGTCTGGGGCGGTGGGGACCTTGAGATTGGGGCACATTTTTTGGGTGGGATTAGTGCACTTTTCTTTGGATTGAGGAGGGGAGGGACATGACCATGATATGCTTCTGTGAGCTTTTCATTAGGCTTGATAATTTCAAAAGTTACTCAGCATTTTGGATAGTTAGCCAAGCAGAATAGTTACCATTTCCAATAAAGCAAACGCTGCTTCACTATCATCCTGTGCACAAAATGGTTGGTGGGAAAACCTTCCTTTTCTGCCTTTTGCCACTAGCCACTAAAAACACCCCATTCTCTTTCTCCAAACACACAAAAAGCTGAAGAGCCATTCCCAGAACCAGAAGGCATGCCAGCAAGCAACATGGTACGAGACAAAAGACATCTTGCAATCTGCCTCTTTCTCCTCCTCTTTTCTCCATCTCTTATCCTCTTTTAGACTGATATATAATTGTTTTTTTTGAGTGGTTTAGTGCAGAAGATGCCTGTGTCCACCCAAATAATGCATCCATGATTGAGATGTTGACCTTAACTAAGTAAACAAAATTCCTCTGTTCAAACGTGGACTCATGGACCACCTTGTACACGTGTGTGTGGTCCAATCATCTTACCAAACTTCAAGACAATAGGTTCATAGTCTTGTGTTTGTGTTCACATACACCACCTCACCTCGGTCACACCTTTCGTTTTCGCCATTGAAACACCTCACCAATTACTCCAGTTTTTCATCTTTTCCCTATTGATACGATAAGTTTCATAGTTTAATAGTCAATGACTGATGAACTGGCGAAATTTGCGACGCATAAAGTCTCAGTATTCAAAGTTTGAACTCTTCCTCTAAACTTCTGTTTGATAATGTTGGTGTACTTTGTATTGTTATTAGCTTTTCATTTATTATGATCTTGAAAGCATGTGCACAAGTGCATACACTTGTGTGGAACAAATTCCCTTGTCTCTAGAGTCCACCCGACCCGTCGATAAAATAATGGAGAAATAAATCATCGTGATTTAGCGGTCTATTAGGTGAGAGGATTACTGTCTGTTGTTCACAAGAAGCCTATCACATTGGGTGTAACTCTCATACTGCAGTTGTCGGGCCTTGATCATGTGTTCTTGTCTACAATCTACCACTTAGGAACCAATTGAGTTGCCTGTGCAACCCCCCCCCCCCCCCCCAACAAGATAATGCAAAGATAAGTCATCGTGACTCGACAATCTGTTAGGTAGGAGGACTAGTGCTTGGTGCCCACCATATCAATTGTAATTCACACATTGCGATTGTCAGAGCTAAATAATGTATTTTTACTTATAATTTATCACTTAAAAGTCAATTGAGTTGTCTATGTAGGTTGCTGGATGGCCACTTGTGTGGATATGACCGAGTCTAGGAATGATGTGAATGAGTTGAAGTTCCATAAACCTACCACCAAGTAGGGGCAAATTTATTATACTTTTGCAAAATTTCCCAGCTGAATGGTAAAACCTAAGACTCCAAGAAAAGACTTGAGAAAAGTGGGATTTAAAGTCTGATGTTGTCCCAAAACACACATCATGCATGGTGGGGACATCTCATTGGTTGTAGACAATACATCTTTTGCATTTTTTGCAAGCATTAAATAGTACAAAAATATCCAAACGTATCTTTGTGTATAAGGACCTGATTTCATCCTAACCAAACTTGTTTATCATGACTTTACACAAATCCCTTCACGGGCAATATAATGGACATTGATCTGGTCTTGCCAACAACAGGAAAAAAAAAGGGTAAAAATGTCCCTAGTCATAGTTTACTTGATTGGTCCATCCAAAGTAAAGTTGATAACTTATTTTACGGGCAATTATATGGTTTGAATCAAATCTATAAAAGAGAAAAACAATATGAATTTGTCTTGTGAGCATCTATATACAAAGACTTTGAGATGTTGAAACACATTTCAACTTTAGAGTAAAGATATGTGTGATTATCGGAGATAGTCTAGAGGGTAAATTATGATTCTTATATAAGAATGTTACAAATTCGATTATTATCAACACATTCTGAATCGACCCGTTACACATAAGTTTTTTAGTACCGTTTGTCTTTTCAAAATTTATCTAGTATATACCATCTCCGGTCATTATCCAAGCAAAACATGGTGGTGGGTACACGAAATTTATGTAGTTTGCCATTTTATATACGGATTTAGGCACGAAAAGATTGGACCTTCGTACCATATCTGATTCCATATCCAGCATTTCTACAGCTTTTGATATATGAAAAGGACCCACTATTTATTATTCATTGCAAAAATTTCATCCTTCAATTCATTATGCAATCCCTATACATAATACATGTGTATTTATATGCTCATATTACCAAATTGTCCCTGACCCAAGAACTCTGTCCAGATACCACATGCCCTTGAAAGGGTGTCCACAAGTATAATTGGCAAAGAGTAAGCAAAAAACAGACATTTTAGCCATCTCTCTCTCCCTCTCCCCCTGCCTTATCTCTCTCTACTCTCTCCCACAAAATCATATATTTCTTTATTACCCAAAAAAAAAAAATCATAAAGAAAAGAGTAATTGAGAAATTTAGGAAATCGTGAAGATAAGCATAGAGAAGAAGACATGTTAAGGATCCAAGAAGAGCCGCCGTCACAGCCACCGCCGGCTGCCACGACTATAACCAGCAGTGTTGAGTCGTTGCCGTCGCCGCCGCCCTCGGCGGCATCTTCTCCGTCTCATGAGTTCTCTTTCACCATATCCCTCCACCCGCCGTCATCCACAAAACCCGCCCCCGCCACCGGCGGCGGCGGCGGCAAAACCGCCAAGTCCTCCCCCGCTTCATTCGCAGTAGACTTATCGCCGGCGGACGAAATCTTCTTCCACGGCCACCTCCTCCCGCTCCACCTCCTCTCCCACCTCCCCGTCTCCCCACGCTCCTCCACCACCTCCATGGACAGCTTCACCCTCCCCATAAAAGACCAAAACTTCCAAGCCGCCATAACCACCCAAACAACCAACGACGACCAAAGAACCGACGCGAAATCCAAACCCAAATCCTTTTCCCTGTTCGGTCTCCCGAAACGGCGAAAAGCCTGCGGCGAGGTTCGAGACAAAGAAGACAAGGAAAAACATTGGAGGAAGCTAAAGTACGACGTAACCCAAGCCGTAAAACGCTACATGAGAATGGTCCGACCACTCTTATCCTTCAAAGGAAGAAGAAGAACCATGGACTTCCACCACCGCCAAACTCATTCTTTTTCTGGAAACTTAAACATTATTAGAAGAGGCGGCAACAGAAGCTCCGATATCATCAGAGGCTTCCGAGGGGAATATTCGGCGCCGGCGTCCACAACAACATCTCCGACCAACAGCGGTCTCCTCGTTGCGCCTTCAACGTTTTCTTCTCCCAGCGACAGCACCATGGAAGAACTGCAAGCTGCAATCCAAGCCGCCATTGCTCACTGCAAGAAATCCATTGCAATGGAAGAGAATGAAGATCAAATGCCAAGAAAACTAGGGCACATTCCTTCTAATGGAGTCTCCATTAATGATCCAAAACATTAATGTCCAGATAAGGTTGGCAGATCATAGTACTTCAATTTTATCTTCCATTATTTCATCCTTTTTTACTCCTAGTTTTTTTTTTTTTTTTTTTTTTTTTTTTTGTGCATGTTTATTAGCTATTTTTGTATTGTATCATAATGGTGGAAATTACATATATCTGTAAGTAATTACCAAAATGATTCCCCAATATTTATGGTGCCTGAATTGTTTTTACTTTTATTTTTGCATTAAAAAGTCAAAAATTATATATATAAACGATACTCATCAGCACTGTTACAATCCCTAAAATATTTGTACAAACTCAAAGTCTTTTTTATTCACTTTAAGATTTTACCACGTACATGAGTTATTGTTCACTATATTAAGAATTTTTTTCTCTTAAAATTTTTGTACATTTATTGACACTAAAGAGTTTTTTCTAAAATTGTGTATATTTACTGTGCATGATGTGTGCATATGGCAGCTAGAGGGTTTACATTAATGATAATTTTTTTGTCATTTATGTAAATTTTGTTTTATTATGTGTCAAATCCATTAAAAAGGAAGAAATAACGCGTTAATTAAATCAAAAGATCGATAGGAAAGTCTAACAAAGTAGGAAGACTAATTTAATGATTTTTTTTTTTCTTCTCTTGGATTTAATCAACATCAATTAGGTAAAAGTCCAATTCTTTTTCTGTCTGTTCTGAATTTTTTAAAATAAAAAATAAAAAATGTTTTTCTTCTTCAGTTGATACTCCGATCCTTAACGACTCCGGCCTTATTGAATAGTGATATTTGGAGTAGTGAAAGTGAACCAAAATATTGGGCAGGGACCATAGGAGAACACTATCCTATAGTCATCTGTACTGTAATGGAACACCATACACTGCATGTGGGGTATCCGACAAAACTATCCCCTATTTTATATATGCAAAACATATTATTTTAAGCTTCAATATTAATGCATGTAAAATAGAGGGGTTTAAGTTAAATTCATATTAGTTTCACGGTGATTCAAAATTAAAAGATATTGTACTGTATGAAAAAAGACGATACATAATAATAGTAGATGAGATAAATCACGAGACTAGTCTACACTAGTATCCACGGCAATGACAAATACATAATTTTTTTTTTAAAATCTTTGGTAGGACTCAAATCCTGCAGACTTTAGTTGCTAGCATGACGTGATACGTAATTGGTTCAATAGGCTCAGTTTTGGAATAGATTTTTTTTTTTCCAATGAATGATGCACATGTATATATATTTGAAAAGAAATTAAGATTGAGTGGACAATAATAATATCCTCAAAGAGCCCTCAAAAAGGAACATCTAAAGCTTGAAAAAGAATAAGACAACCTAAGAAAAGAAAGATTGTGGGTAGAAAATAATTACATGTGTATGAGTGTATCCAAGAAAGGTGGTGAAATTAAGGATCAAATATATTGTGTAGAAGAAAGTATTGAAAAGTTGGGCATTAAGTCCGACCAAAACGGCCGTGGGTCTAATGAATAGATGGGTTTGGAATTTCTCTTGTCAGGTACAACAATAATGTCTATGGTACTTCCCCCAAATATCACATCACAACAACTAACTTAATCAAATGCTTATTAATTATTCTAATCTTAATCAAACTTGTGTATAATTCGAGGTTTATTGTCGGTTTTGGAGGAGTGGGTGACGCCATTTTTGATGTATTAGTGATGTCTGCTTTTGGTTTGTTTAAAAATGGATAATTTCACCTACACCCCTCAAATTTCTTACCCTCACAAAAATAGCTTTGTTAGACTATATGTCTATATGCATGAACCCCATGAACCTGCTCAAAATTAAAAGGGCTATGAATGAGGTAAATTCTAAGTTGCATGCCTAAATAATTTCAAATTTCATGCAGGTATATTTTTATGGATAAGAAATTTTCATCACAACTAATTGGTCAAAATTTTCAATGACTTGTCAGGTTCCTAGTGGAATTCAAACCCTACCTTATCACCGGAAGTAAGACTAAACTTCTAAATCTCCTCTTCAAATTTTATATTTCATTTTTTTTTTTCAATCACTTTACCATGGTTCAATTTTATAAAAAAAATGTATATATATTCTAATTATATTGAATTTCTGTTTAACATTTTGAGTTAGTTACATTTTTTGGGGGTGACGAGGAAAATTCATACTCAAAGATATACACTAAGTAAACCCTTCTATTGTGCAATAGTATTTTGGGGTGATTAATTACAATTTTATTATGTAAGATAGATGTTAATGGTTAAATTAGTCTTTTACAATTAAGAGTGCAGAGATTAACATCACCATTAATTTACACACATTAGATTATGTGTTGAATTTTAAAATATAGCTGAGAAAATAATATTTTTTGGGGGGGAATCAAATGGAGGAGGAAACCCGAGAAAAAACTTCACTGATCTCTCATGGCCACCACTCTACTATGGCAAATTACTGTGTGAATTATAATAAAAAAGGTACATTTTTAAATTTTAATATATTAAATGTACATTATTTGTATATTGAATATATATTATATAAAATAATATATTTTTAGTACTAAAATAATGTTTTTTTAAATACAATGTATATTTTTAATATATTAAAAATATATTATTTATATATTAAATATACACTATTAATAATATGATACACATAGTTGGTGTAGACTAGGATCACACCATAATAATTGGATTAAAGTTGTTCCAAGTTTGAAATATATATTTGGGCTGCCATGTTAATAATGGGCCTGACTGCAATATTCCTAATTCTCTTAGGGAAAATGGCACTTTTTACTCCTGAGTTATACACTTATAGTAATTTTTCCCCCTCAATTATTTAGGTAAGCACATTAGCCCCCTCAATTATTCTAAAAGTGGTGCTTTTTCCCCCATGATATATTAAATTGACATTTATACCCTTAAAGTAAACATTTTATTTATTTTACTACTCCAACAAATTATTGCGTATACGTAGGGATGACCACGGTTCGATTTGAATTGAACCGGATACTAAAGCAATCGAATTAATAGTTTACGGTTATAATTCAGATCTAGAACCCAATATTTAAATGTCAATTTATTAAAATTATGTATCAAAAAATTGAATCTTGAACCGTGAACTGGCGGTTCCGGATCTGATTCGCGGTTTTGAACCGTCTTTATTTTAAAATTTTATTTTTTATTTTAAAATAGTCTAAATTCAACAATAAATGTATTTTATTTTTTTTCGGAACATGAACCGTCCGTTCCGGTTCACGATTTTAATAAACTCTAAATATCGAATTTCGATTCTAAATTGTAATTGGAATATTTCGGTTTGGTTGCTATAGTGTTTGTTTAGTTTGAACCAAATTATGGTCATAATTTGTTGGAGAAAAAAATAAATTAAATATTTAGTTTAAGGGTAAATATGTCCATTTAACATTTCAGGGGGAAAAACAGCCACTTCAATAACTTAGGGGGAAAAAATGCTATAGGTATATAACTCAGGGGGAAAAAGTGTCATTTTCCCATTCTCTTATTATGTCTATCATTAATTCATTATAAGCAAATTAGCAAAGACTTATTTTAACTTTAACATTTTGCAATACATATATTTTTTGCTACTATCGGAAGTGCAGGATAAACCATATTCTTATATAATAATCCGTAAGTTACACGTAAGATTTTTGTGACGTGTTCGGTCAAAATTAAAAAGTGTTAGCAAGAATCAAACTCGAGACATTACAATACATATGTTAAGAGTTTACTTATAATAATTAGTCCGATCATAATATTAGTTGAATTAAGGAATCAAAAATTAAATTCTTAATCTTTTCAAACATGTATAAGACCGGTCCTTCATCTGTCCTTGAGGTTTGGGACATAGTTCTGACTCCTTGTATTTCAGATTTGGTTATGCCTTGATTTAATATATTTCCTTTGGTTTTCAAAAAAAAAAAGTTTTTTAATACCGTAAATTAAACAATGAACAAGTAAGATACACCAAAACAAAATACATCATATATTAAAGAAGAAAACCCTCAGCTTCTTCAATTCATAACAATAAAGATCAATCAAACACATCCCGCCATTCACTTCTTTCACCCGTCTCCCGGATAGGAAAGAAAATGAAGACTTAAATTTGAGGTTCAAACTTATAAAGATCAATCGAGATTAAAAAATAATAATAATAATAATAGCATATGTATCAAACCAAAAGATCATACACAAAATAAGACACGTATAGTACGAACATTACATCGGCAGATCGAAGCAATGCAAGTACGAGGTTGATCCAAATTCCGGCGGCGGTGTTTGCGAAAGCGTTGAATTATTTATTCAATTTGCATATATAAATAAAGCGCGCAAATATATATAATGAAAGCGGCCGGCCGGCGGGCCGGCGTTAATAGTAGGTGACGATCCGGATGTTCAAGTTCTTCTGAGCAAAGTCGACCAGCTTATCCATCTCGTTATCGTCGATGAAGCCGTTGCCGTTGCCGTCGGCGGCCTTCATTCCCTGGCGGCCTTTGAACCAGCACAGCCTCCCTCCGGTGGCGTGGATGGCTTCCTGGAGCTCTTCCCTGTTTATTCTGCCGTCCCTATCTGCATCATAAGTCCTCACAAATTTCTTGAACTCTTCCAACGTCATGTCTAGTTTCCCATCGCTAGGAGCACTGCGTGGATAGCTCTTAATAGCCATTTAATTTCACTACTAATTTTAACTTCTAATTAATCTAAATATATGTGTGTGTATAGAAGAGTATTTCTGCTCCTTCTTATAGAGATGCAGGTTGGTGATGAACTGATGATTTGGGGTTTGCTTGGATTTATACTGTATTTTTGGACCCGTTCGGTCTAGCCTTTTGTAGACGGTTACAAATTTGACTCTCGGTATGTAAGAGTGGTCTAATTTGCTTTTTTGGTTTGATTGAGTCTAGACTGTTTTACTTCTTTGGATTCTAATTGAGTATGGACAACATAAGCTGGTTACAGAGTATATTTTTTAAGTATTACTGACTCTGTTACAATATAGTATTTCTTCATAATTATTTTCTCAACCTATTGAAGCACAAAGAGGCAATACCGCTACTGCTCTACTGAGGCTCAAATCCATGACCTCCTATTTCGGAAAGCCACTTCATGCCACTAAACCATAAGATTATTGACAGAATATATATATATATATATATATATATATATATATATATATATATATATATATATATATATATATATATATATATATATATTTGAAAACGTGAGGATTAAAATCGAAACATTTTATGTAGATTTTTATAATATTTAAAAAGAAATCATTTACATGTTTGTGAAGAATAGGAATCAAATAAAAAGTGATAACGTGTAGCGATAAAAGTTATCCCATTTTAATGCAAAGTATTTAAAAGTGGAATATTGTGTTGAAATTAAAATGAAAGGGAGATGCTATTCGATCTTTTAATGTATGGTTGCCTGGAAATTGGAATAAGCTATCCCACCGACCACCGTCGCTAGGCCCCGGGTGTCAAGATCCGGTATAGATGTATATATCCACCAGCCTGTATAGTTCAGGATTATGTTCATTCTAACAAATTAAAATTATATTAATTCTATGTACATTGAACAAAAGTCTTATTATCACAGAACTTAAATAAGTCATTACATACATATAAGATAAATTAAATTATAAATATGAAATAGCGTAACTAACATTACAAGGTGTGTGGTTGTTCAATACACACATTCACGTATTGACTACAGATTTCCCTTATCACTCAAATATGAAATGACAAATTATAGTATTACACACTAAAATAATATAATATATGCAAAAGATTATATAATTGAACACCATACTACGTGGGAAGATTCACCTTAAAATATAAACATATGCATGTCAGCATGTCATATATGCTCCTTTGAAGGGTGGGGATGGCCTAATCACGGGTAGTGTTACGTACGTACGTGTAATTGCACCATGGAAGCCCATAGAACTATAGAAGATGAGAGTTGTGAATAAATAGACACAGAAATAATGTGACTGTGGACAAAAAGTTGGGCACGCAATATAGTGAAGATAAGGAACTTTAATTTCTTTTCATTGCTAAAAAAGAATCTAAATTCTAAAATATTGCAATTTGGGGTAGCAAGCAGGATTCGATCGACCTAATCGTATGTGTCAAGCCACTTGTGTCTTATCTCTTATTTTTAGCAAAATTATAACAGGACAAGTGGACAACTTTCTCAACTTAAAAATGTAATTAAAATTTTAGTTTTACAAAATTAGATTCTAATTTTTTTTTTTTAATGATGAATAAAATTTATAGCCGCTACTCGCTATCTGAATATGTAGAATGAGTAAACCTCACTCCTATATAATAGATATTAATCTTACATACAAATTTTATGCCATTAAATTCACATCCTAATTAACAAAAGTATAACAATTTGTTTAAATCATGTATAGGTTCTAATTAGTTTGTTATATATTAGAATCTAACATATTTGAACAGATTGTTATACGTTTCTTAGGATGTGAACCTAATGATATAGATGGAATTTGTAGAAATTAAAAGGTAATTAAATGAAAATTAGGAATTTAGAACATCTCACTTTTTAAAATTGAGATACATAGTTAATAGTTAATTGCACTTTAATTTGAGTAGAAGTAGAATGGTGCATTTTGCCTTCCCTATTAAGATTTAAGTTTTGAAATGGTCTTGATTATAGGTAAATTTAACCAAACTAATCATCCACTTTCAACTTTACATACTATAGTCCATGACTATACATAAGTTTAGTCAAATTTAAACTATATATAATTATGACCTTAACAATTATATATTATACAAGAAAATCTTACATAAAGCTTAAATTTATAGTAAGCCAAAAAGTATTAACAAGGCAACGTTACCTAATACATATTTTTGAAAAGTGACTGAAATTTTTTTCAGTCATAAAAAAGAGCAAGTATTAATACGTGACAATCCGGATATTCAAGTTCATCTGCGCAAACTCCACCAACTTGTCAATCTCACAGTCGTCAATGAAGCCGTTACCGTTACCGTCAACCGCCTTCATCCCCTTCCGGCCTTTGAGCCAGGAGAAGCGCACGCCGGCGGCACGGATGGCTTCCCGGAGCTCTTCTCTGCTTATTCTGCCGTCTCTGTCGGCGTCAAATCTCCTAAACCACTTCTTGAACTCTTCCAAAGTCATGTCAAGCTTGCCGTCGCTGTGAACGCTGCGTGCATAGTTCTTAATAGCCATATATATTTTCTCTGTTTTTCTTTTTTCTGCAGTGAAATGTACAGTGTGATTTTGCTTCTTATTATGGTTGGCGATGATATATATGGCAACTTGCATGCATGGATTTATACTGTATGTGCGTAGTGCTTGAAGGTTCCACATTATCTTTAAGGAAAAGTATTAGGCAACATGAATTCTTTGAATTGAATTAGGTTGTTTCACTTTTCTAAGGAATAGGAATCAAATTAAAGCAGTCCAAAACGTGGAACACGTACCTATTCGGAATCAAATAATTGCTATGTTTTGGGCAACCCCTTGGCTTGGTAACTCCGGGTGGGAACGGTTTATTGATTTTTTTAGTTTGAACCCGATAACTATGAACAATTTAAGTTTGTTTATCTCTTTTGTGATTTTTTGCGGTTAAGATAATATGACTGGATTTACTCAGTGTATACCCTCAAGTAGCTAGTGGCTGGGACTCGATTATTGAAATAAGTAAAGCTAAATCTCGTTGTAATAATATATTTAGGGTACATATCAATCATGTTGTGCTTAACTATTTATATATAAAGGAGATTCCATTCTTCTTTTTATGCAGAAGGATGAATATAATAATGCAGATCAGATAGTTTGGTATATGGTGGTGGCAGGCAGGCATTTATTCTGGGTCGTACTTATCTTGTTGCATGGTTAAGTTTTCTTAAACTTGACTTCAAAAAGTGGATTCCACGTATTAACGTCAGTCATAGTACGCAAGCAAGTTTAAATCACATGATAAACGACCATTCGAGGGGATCCAAGGTTGGAAGGTGTAAAAAACGCGCCAGGTAGGGGTCGAACCTACGACCTTCTGCTTAGGAAACAGACGCTCTATCCACTGAGCTACAGGCGCTGCTTGTTACAGGTAACATATTTTATAACGTAAATAAAAACCCAAGAGAGAAGGGACTCTTTTTTTTTTTTTTTTTTTTTTTTTTGAAGAAAGGGACTTGATTACTATGTAGAAAACAAGAAAGAAAAAGGGCCAAAACATTGATTTAATGGATAAAAGGTCTCACTTAAAACTTGTTTCTAGTATTAGGGTGGGAGCTTGATTTTTTTGTACACAAAAATATACAGTTTATTGTTGAGTCTCGAAACTATATTGAGGTTCAAAAAACTGTGTACACAAAAAAGAAGATATTCATACACAAATCTACTTAGAGAATCATTAGCAGATACACATGTCATTCCTCTCAACATTTGAGCGTATGAACTCCATTCAAACTAATTAAAATGAGTTTAAAAGGTAAAACAACGAATATAAAAAGTAGAATAAATAATCAATCAATCAAATGTTACAATAGTAAATTAATTCATTAGTAAAACATATTATAGGTTAAGTTTTAACTGGATAAAGAATGTTGTAACTTGTGAGGTACTTTCTTAAATAAAAGTGACTATTAATTCGTGGTGAGATTTTGTTAAGTGATTTAAAAGCAAGATTTGAGTCTTACCAATAATGTATATATTTAGTTTTGTTATGGACACTAATATCCAAACATTTGGAGGTTGGCATGTCATTTGAGACACATTTTGCAATTTATTTTATCATGTCTACGTGATGAGAGCAACAAGAGACCTTCTAATATGAGGTTCAGCTTTCGAAGTAATTTTTTTTTTTTTTTAAATAAAACTAATTTTAAAATATTTATGGAGTTTTTGTCCAATTCTACCAAAATGGAAATTCAATTTTTAAGAAAAGGACACAAACGACTCTGAGTCGCAGATTTGGCTGTGGTCAGAGAAGCAAACTCTTATTCATCGTTTTAGCCACAAATCCTTTTTCTTCGGAAAAGACCAAAAAGAAACAGAGTAGTACAGACATAATCCGTAACAACAATCCTGTTGGTTTCATAATCCTTTCCTCAACTTTCCATTTTTGCTTTTCTTTTTCTTTTTTTTGTCTTTTTAATTTCTCAACATTTCCCTTTTTCCGGATTTCATGGTAGGAATCGTTGGAGCTGCTTTAAAGCCAGCAACTTTCCTGTTATAACAGAGGAAGTTGGTGGTGGAGAAACACAGAAAGATTCATTCTTTTCGTAGGAATTTTGGTTTATCTGTTTCGCTTCCTGCGATTCCTGGTATGCTCTTCTCCTCTTTGTTTCCTTATCCATTTTGTTTTTGTTTTTTTCCTTAAATTCTTTTGTGCTGTTTTAATCCACACATGTTTGATTATTGTTTCTGTTAATGCCCATGTTTTTAGAATTTAGAGTTTGGTTATTGTTTCTGTTAATACCCATTTTTTAAATGTATGATTATTGAGCTTAATCTTTGATTATGTATGTGTTCCTTCTTGTTGCGTAATGCGTACGTCAAAGGAAGAAGCAATTTTGGAAGATCCAAGCTTTTGAGTTGAGAATAATTTGATTTATTGCTGTGATAATTTGTCTCTATGTTTGCTTATTTGAGCATTTTGATGTAGAATTTTTCTGGGATTTTTATGAATTCATTGTCTTGTTTAATGGATATTCATGCACATCAAAGACCAGGAACCAACTAAGCTGACCGTGCATTTATAGAACCCAGCTACATTAGTGTTATTGTATATGTATGACTATCTCCTAGTATAAATCAAACTTGAAACATGATGTTCCAATGATATCAGGTGAATTGGTTCGCCTTAGCCTTATATTGGCATGGAGGACATGAAAACTATGAAGGGAAATGCTCCTCCAGAATCCAATTCTGTACCTGGATTCTCGTCGTCCACAGATGAAGATGAAGATCAACCGAATGATGTGTTTGAAATGAACAAGGATGCTAATGGAAATATGAACTCTGAAAGACAATCTTTGGGTGTGGATGGTTCTATATTAGATCATCTAAGGCATGATGATCCTTCTCCAACAGAAAACTCGTCTTCAGTTAAAGTTGGCAAAACAGGTGACAATTCTGGGACTGGATCTCCTGTGAATAGTTCTCTACTTGATGATCAGGACACATTTCTTCAATCAACAAAAAGTCCCGAGCCAATCGAGCCTCAGAGAGACGATAATTCTGGTGTTTCCAAATCCATCCCAGTCGAGCCAAATGAAGTATTGCAACCACTTGTAGATGTTGGGGCTCACTCTAGTGCTCATAGCAGCTCGAGTAATGCTCCTGAGGAAGAAATGGCACCCAAAAATTCCTCAGTAGCAAAAGAGGGCGATGCTACAGAGTTATTTGGAGACAGTAGTGACAAAACCAACAGTGATAACGATGCTCGTTTCACCTCCCACCACCCTCAAGTTAGCGACGCTGAAAGTTGCAATGATTTATTACCATCAGATGAGGATGATCACCTCGTAGCCAAAGTTTCCGTGCCATCAGAAGATGACTTTTATGATCCTATAGCCAAAGTTTCGAATCATTTAGTGTCAATAACCTCGTTTGGTCAGCCCGTAGCCAAAGTTTCAGAGCCATCGGATGACATGGATCAGCCTCTACCCAAAGATCCCAACCATTTAATGCCCTTAGAAGAAGCTGATGTTGATGAGCCTATTGCCAAAGTTCCCAGTCATTTCGTGCCACCAGACGATACTGGTCGCCCCCTAGCCAAAGTTTCCAGCTTTACTGATAAATCATCAACCTCTGCCCCTTCTAAATACCCCGAAAATTATGACATAGACCGGGTTCAAATTGACACAGCAATGCCTATTGAATCTGTGAAGCAGGCGGTTTCTAAATTTGGTGGAATCGTCGACTGGAAGGCTCATCGAGTCCAGACTGTGGAGGTATAATCTTCTTTCCAACTCTCTATAGCCTCTTCTTAAACCACATTTATCGCACTTACAATGTAGTATGTGTTCATAGCTACTTTCTCAATCTACTGAAGCACAAATAGACCACAAAGTCATTGGCTCATACACAATCTGATTATTTGTGATTTTCTTTAAAGCTTACAAGTAATATTGTGATTGATTCTGGATGTGAACTTTCTATATGTGAATGGCTCGATTCAGAGGCGCAAGTGTATTGACCAGGAGCTAGAGAAACTGCAGGAGGAGATCCCGTTATACAAAAAACAATTCGAGGCTTCTGAGGAAGGAAAGATGCAAGTTTTGAAGGAGTTAGATGGCACTAGAAGGCTTATAGAGGAATTGAAGCTGAATCTCGAGAGAGCACAAACCGAAGAGAAGCAAGCGAGGCAGGATTCCGAGCTAGCGAAGCTGAGAGTGGAAGAGATGGAGCAAGGGATAGCGGATGAGGCGAGCATTGCCACGAAGGCACAGCTCGAGGTTGCGAGAGCGAGGCACCACGCTGCAGTGTCGGACCTGAAAGCCGTGACGGCTGAGCTGGAGCAGCTCCGCAGTGATTACGCCGTGCTGGTGGCGGAGAAAGACGCGACAGTGAGAGAGGCGGAGGAAGCTGTTTCTGAATCGAAACAGGTCGAGAAGTCTGTGGAGGATTTGACAGTTGAGCTGATAACTGTGAAGCAGGCTTTAGATGCTGCACATGCTGCACATTTGGAGGCGGAGGATCATCGGATTGGAGCTGCGATGGCGAGGGAGCAAGACACAATTTACTGGGAGAAGGAAGTCAAGGAAGCTGAAGAGGAGATCGAGAGGCTAAATCAGCAGATCCTGTCTTCAAAGGAGCTCAAATCGGAGCTAGATACTGCCTCGGCTATGTTGCAGGACCTGAAAGCAGGATTGGCTGCTTATATGGAGACACAAGTGGAACAGGAAAGCCTCGAGGCCGAGTTGCTGGAGCCCGAGAAACGAACTCACTGCGAAATACAAGCAGCAGTGGAATCAGCTAACAACGAGCTCAAAGAAGTGAACCTCCAGGTAGAGAAAGCAGTGGCTGAAGTGAATTTCTTGAAAGTAGCATCCACCTCGTTGAAGTCCGAGCTGGAAAAGGAGAAAGAAGAACTTATAACCAATCGACAGAGAGAAGAAATGGCATTGATTACAATTTCATCCATCGAAGCTGAGCTAAACCGAACCAAATCAGATATCGTCCTTGCACAGATAAGAGAAAAGGAGGCTCGAGACAAGATGATAGAGCTTCCAAAGCAGCTCCAACGGGCCACTCAAGAAGCAGATCGAGCAAAGTCCATCGCTGAAGCAGCACTACAAGAATTGTCGAGAGCAAAGGAGGAAGCAGACGAGGCGAAGACAGGAGCAACTACACTGGAAAGACGGTTACTTGCAGCTAAGAGGGAGATAGAAGCTGCAAAAGCTGCCGAGAAATTGGCAATTGCAGCTATGAATGCACTAGAAGAGAGCGAACAAGCTCGAAACAACAAAGGAGTGGACTCGCCATCTGGAGTGACACTTTCCTTAGAAGAGTATTACGAGTTAAGCAAGCAGGCCCACGCTGCAGAAGAGGAAGCGAAAATGAGGGTAGCTGCTGCTATCTCCCAAATCGAAGTAGCTAAAGAGGGCGAGCTAAATAGCCTGAAGAAGCTGGAGGATGTTAACAATAAGCTAGCTGAAAGAAGGCAAGTGCTAGAGAACGCACTGCAAAAAGCCGATAAAGCCAAGGAAGGGAAGATGGCTGTAGAGCAGGAGGTGAGAAGACGGAGAGAATCACACGAGCAAAGACGGAAAGCCAATGAATCTGTTAGCTCAGTTAAGAGTGCAAGATCGAGTTTCGAGGAGAGGAAAGAGTCAGAAGGAAGCGTGAATGGCCCAGCAGCAGAGGACACTTCACGTCATAATAAGTCTCCTAAAGGACAAGCAAACGAAAGCAAACCTGAAAATCCACAGGCTCAGGAAACCAATACTGAACCTGAATCATCTCCTGAAGTGACAAAGCCCGCCAAGAAAAAGAAGAGATCATTCTTCCCCCGGATCTTCATGTTCTTGGCCAGAAAGAAATCATCCAAGACATGATGCTCTGTGCAACGTGCATACTGCTGCTACAAAGTACAATCATCATTCTTCCCCGAGATCTTCTTGTTCTTGCCCAGAAAAAAAAAGAGCATCCGATACAGCATGATGATGTGTGCAAACTGCTACATTATGAGTTGTTGATGGATTGGGTAGGTGTAAATTCATACAGAATTTTGATTGTGCGTTTCGAGCATTGTTTTTGTACATATCATAGAGATTCTTGTTATTTGTCATCACAAATGTTAACCTTTTCATTGCTGTAGCTCACTGGTTGTCATTTTTGTTTGTATAGACATGGCTATGATTTATACAAGAGATGGTTACATTTCCTATACTGTCTCATAAATTTCTTTATTAAATTGGCAATGTATTGAGTAAAACAAGAAGGATTATATGCAATCCTTCATCTTGTTCTTGTATCACCATATACATATCAGAATGTTGTGACTTAACTCTCCAGAAAATCAAGAACCAGATCCAGCAAGAGTTTGAATGATGGTTTTGTGCCATGGATCTGAGAGGTGCTGGGCAAGATTTTCTATAGGGCCAGCATGAGTAACAGAAGCCTGGACGAAGAAGCCGAGCATGGCCACCATTGCTAGCCTTCCTGCAGATTAACCAACAAGTATGAAAAAGAAATATACCAAAAAAGAACTGAAAAAAACAGGATGTCTGACAAACCATTCTTGATCTCTTTGAGCTTCCATTCTTGGGCATTCTTGATATCTTTAGCCAGACCCAATGGATTGAACAAGGGGCCACCAGGATACCTGTTCAAAAAGTTTAAACTGATAGTTAGACTGTACATACATTTATATTTTATATGTCAGAAAAGAAGTGTGATCAAAGTGAAACCTTGGTAATCAAATATTACCCGGGTTCAAGGCCTTCAAGTGCAGCTTCTATATTGAGGAAGGTTCCTTCTTGTGCTTGAGAACCAGGGTTTTTGAAATCCATATACCTTTTGGTTTCAGCAAAACTATATAAAAACAAGAATCCATCAGAGCTCTTGTACAGGCAAACTCAAATTTTGTTTGCAGTTCATGGTTTTTCATGTTACCCCATCAGTAAGAGCTGAACAACAATCAGAGTTCTTGTACTGGCAAACTCAAATTTTGTTGCTCCTGCTTCATACCACACAGGCAGGTCTTTTATTCCTGTCACACGAAGCAACTGCAGCAGTGCATGCAATTCCATGAGGAAAAATGAAACAAAACAAGAACAAAAAAAAAAAAAAGGCCTAATAATAGTAACAACAAGGATCAAGAACATCATCTTCTGTGGGGCAATGCCAGCTAAGTTAGTTAAGCTGTTGACTTGATAATCACAAGATTACAAGTTTGACTCCTAGTGAAAGTCCTATTGACCTTTTCGGTTTGAGTCTATCAGCTATGAACGTTATATTATAAAGCTGGATTATAAGTTCGACCCCTAGTGGGAACGCCCTTCTTGGGTTTGAACTATGGACAACTTAAGCTGATTTTTTACAATGTGGGATTTAGTCAAAAGGAACATCATGGGTGTTGTTCTTGCTGCTCACATACATCTGTAAAAAGAATTCCGGCAACCCCAGCCATGGCGAAACGGGCATGAACCAGCTCTGCTTGCACATACCATCTCAAGCTCTCCGGATCCTCTCCAAGTCCAAGAGGATCAAACCCGAAATCCCCAGCAAGACTGCAAAAACCACAAGCATATATTAATGGCGGCCGGGGGGGGGGGGTGAACATTATATATCAACCAAGAAACTAGTGGATTGACAGAAAGGGCGGGGCTCACGTACGTTCCGTCAAGATAAGTCGGAGGGTCGAGCCCCGGCAGCCAGGTAGGGCGCTGCTGAGCTCGAACAACAGGATTCCGACATTTCCGCGGACAATAAGGTGCGGTTTTTACGGGTGATGTTTTTCCTATCCCGTTGGACGGAAATGCAGGTGACGCAGGGAAGGTGGGCAAAGCTCGGAAGCTTCTTCCCAATGCAAGTTCCATCTCGATCGTGTTGTACGTTAACTTCCAGCAAGCTAAACAACCATGACGACCTCACTGCATTGCAGAGTTGAATTAAAGATAAGATAGAGTGGCCCCCACTTATCACTTTTCTGTTCAATTTCACACATTTTTCTGGTCCCCTTAATAATAATAAGGAAAAATGGCACTTTTTCCCTCTAAGTTATATACTTATAGCACTTTTTCCCCCTGAATTATTTAAGTGACTCTTTTTTTTCTTGAAATGTTAAATGGACATATTTACCCTTAAAATAAATATTTCATTTATTTTTCTTCTCTAACAAATTATTACTATAATTTGGTTCAAACCAAAGAGATACTATAGCAACCAAACCAAAATATTCCAATTACAATTTAGAATCAAACGCGATACTTAGAGTTTATTAAAATCGCGAGCCGGAATGACCGGCTCATGTTCCGAACTGAAAAAATAAAATACATTTTTTGTTGAATTTAGACTATTTTAAAATAAAAAATAAAATTGTAAAATAAAGACGGTTCAAAATCGTGAACCGGATCCGAAACCACCGGTTCACGGTTCAGGGTCCAGTTTTTTTTTTATTCATAAATTTAATAAATAGAAATCTAAATATTGGATTTTAGATCTGAATCATAACCGAAAACTTTTAATTTGATTACTATAATGTCCGGTTCAGTTCGAACCAAACCGTGGTCATCGCTACATATACACAATAATTTGTTGGAGAAGTAAAATAAATAAAATGTTTACTTTAAGGGTAGAAATGTCAATTTAATATATCAGGGGGAAAACCATCCCTTTTAAAATAATTGAGGTGGCTAATGTACTTACATAAATAATTGAGGGGGAAAAAGTGCTATAAGTATATAACTTAGGGGGAAAAAGTGCCATTTTCCCTAATAATAATATAAAAACTGAACAAATTAATGCCGGAAATGCTGATCAGAGGGTATTATTGTAATTTCGTTTGTTATGTTATATATAGCGTCGGGTTAGTTTCAGCCTAGTGGATCTATCGGATATTCGGATCGGAGCAGCCATGGCTGCTGGTGGTCCGTGCTAAAATGCGCCGCTGGTGAGAATGATGCTAACAGAGCATTAACATGAAATTGAATCCCAGAAAACAAAAATAGTGTCGGATATGCGTGCAGTGACTGCATGATTGCATGCATGAACATGCAAACCGGAAATGATTGGGTTTGAAAAATGATTCTTTATTATTAATTGATAACAAGAAAATTCGCAACTAAAGGACATTTAAGATAAATTCGCCTTATAATTTTAATTGGTAAATGACACTGAAAAAGTAAACCAATTAATCAAATTCTGCTCTTTTTTCTTCCATTGACAATCCTTCAATGTAAATGGTACAAGTGGCTAGCTGTAAAAGCAGGCATATATAGTGTGGATCCTTTACCATTCCCTTGACAATTTGACATGTATAGAAGGTAATAATATATATATATATATATATATATACATATATATATATATAAAATTTATTTTCGGATTAAAAGGTTAAGAAGAAACAGGCGAAAGATAAAGATAAAGTCATTCAACCGAACAAAAATGTACTGTATTAGATTTCAGGCACTCGTTTTTACACTTAAACTCTTGTATTCAATGTTTGCGTGGCGAGAATGAAACTACTGAATTGGTATTGAATACAAAAAATGAGTGCTAAGTATTATTTTTGGAGCAGAAATATTTGGCAAGACTAATTAAAAGACATGCTATTAGAACTGCTTTTACTTGTGACAGAAGGTGAAATTGTCCACCTCAAATACCCTACACCCCGACCCGTAGAACTGCTTTTACTTCTTCTAATCTCCCAATTGATGTTGTTATTGTCTCCAAAATCGGGCCGGTAGCCCATGTATAGGGACCGGGAATGGGCCATACTGAATTCCACTTTCGGGCCCCACCACTTCCCACCTGCACCCACAGTAATCAAACACAAACACATAATTATTCATGCCAACCTGCATCCCTCTTCTCTTCAATTCTTATATATGCTAATATACATAGATTTTGCCTCAACCAAGACTAGTTATGTTTGTGTCAGATAAAATTTTAAGAGCGACACAGTAATTCATAAGTTTTTTTAAACAGGATTAAGTTGAAAGAGACACAACCTTGTAAGTATATATTTATCATTTATATATATTACCTAAACTTAGTAACGAGGTGATGCATAATTATTAACATCTCGAGTTTAGCAAGTTCGTTGCCAGGGCAGGCATGTACTCCACTGCCAAATGGCATGAATGTGTTCGGCTTTGGAGCTTTCTGTGAACAGATGAAAGCAAATTAATTTAGTTAATTTTTCTCTTTTTGTTTGCCTAACATATGCTAATGGGTAGGCATAAATTTCATAAATATATACCTCGAATCTTGAAGGATCAAACTTGTGTGGATCAGAAAAGAAATCTGGATTCTGATGAATATTCCTGAATAAAGGCATGACCTTCCAACCTTTTGGAATTAGGTACCCTACATTACATACACACACATTTTCTTTGTTTTCAGTCCTCCTAAGATCTGTGTCAGCAAAGATATCAAAGTGTTGATCATTAAAGTCATGAAAAAAAATGCTTACCTTTGTATTCCACATCCTCCACTGCCTCTCTGAATGTAAAAGATATGATGCTCGATTTCCTCAAAGTCTCCAAAACAACCTGAGCAACATATATACACACGTATTTTATCATTCTTTTGACTGACGTATGATCCTAATTGACAAAGGATCATAAGGAGATAAGACAATCTAGATGTTTTATAACTGACTGACTCAAACCAAAAAGAATGTATGACTCATATTGGAAGTCAAGCTTGGAACATTGTAGTTACAAAGCGAACAACACTAATTTAGCTGGAGTTGTCCCTATTTTATCCTTCTTTTATAAGTTTGAACTTCAAATTTAAGGGTCCCTTACATCCTCTGCACTGGAGACTTGTGAGATAAGGTAAATCGTAGGACATGTCTTGATGGTACAGTGTTATGAGTTTTTGCACGGACCCTGACGTCTCAGAATTTGACCCTGGGTACTAGCCAGATATTACCCCAAACTCAGTCTTTTACCCACCAAGCTATGTTTCGGGGG